CACAGCAGATACACAGAGATACACACACTGATACACAGATACATACCCTGACACACATGTAGATACACAGACACATAGATACATACATTGACACACTTAAGTATACATACCCTGACACACAGATACACACCCTGACACACAGATACATACACTGACACACAGCAGATACACAGACACATAGATATATACCATGACACAAATACAGATACACACACTGACACACATTCTGACACACAGATACACAGCTACACCGACACACATGCAAATACACAAGGGCTTGACAAATTTGCTTATAATCTAGGAGCCAGCTAAAAAAGTTAGAAGCCAATATTTTTTTTAACTAACAAAGCTTAATTTTCAGTGACAAAAATAGAATTCCTAAAGGGACACTATAGTCGCAAGAACCACTGCAGCTTAATTTAGTGGTTCTGGTGTCTAAAACTCGGCCGCCTCCGTTCTCTCACGGCTGGCTGGTCGGCCACCTCTGCTCCCCCTAAGCTGGCCACCTGCATTCTCCCTTGCTGCTCTGGGCCAACATATTCCAGACGCCAGGACAAAATTCCTAGTCGCCATGGCTCCTGTGATTTGTTGAGCCCTGAGATACACATACACACACATACCTTGACACACACACTGACACACAGACACATACAGTGACACACACACAGACACATACACTGGCATACAGGTACACACACAGACACACTGACGCACAGACACATACACTGACAGATACACACACAGACACATACACGGACGCACAGACACATGCAATGACGCATACAGATACACACACTGACACATACACAGACACATATTGTGACACACACACTGACACATACAGTGACATATGCAGTGACACAGACACATACACTGACATACAGATACACACATGCAGATACACTGATACATACAGACTCACAGACATACAGATACACACACAAACACTACACACACACACACACATACATACAGATACACAAATCCTACCTTTTGACTGGCTGGGTCCGGTGGGAGTTGGGGTCCTCCTGCTATGCCAGTTCGCTTCGCCTACCCTGCCACCTCCTCTCCTGCGGGGCGCGCTCTGTGTGCGAGCTGGGAGGAAGTAGTTACAAGCTGTTACTTCCTCCCAGCTCTGGCTGCAGGAACACAGGGGTCCAGTTGCGCTATTAAAGCGCCGCATCGCGGGGGGGCGGAGCCTGACACAGACCGGAGCGATCGCACATTGCCGGAGCTCCGGTACAATCCACTGAAATCTGCAGAAATCGGGGAAAACCCGCATCACATACAGACTCCCAACCGAGTACTGACCTCGGAGACACACAGACACGCTGATGCCGTTCCTCCTGACACCCGGCTCCAAAAATAAACGCCGCGGCAGCAAGGCCTACAGATCGGGAGGGCAACCTCAGGCCCTTTCAGGAACGCACTGGCCCTGGAACGTCCCAGACTTTGAGGACTGGTACCCCGACACACTGAGCGCAGGTGAGATGGGCCGCAAGACGCAAAAAACGCCCCAAAATACCGCAAAGCCCCAGCGCGATATAGGCCAAATGCTACAGGCCTCAAACGCCATGAAGGCCCAAACTCCTCGAGACACATCCCCACAACCTTCAGAGGAAGGAGACACACAGGACAATCCACACCCCAGTCCCCAACACCCGACACCCACAGGGACATCGGACACTAGCGCACCGGCCTCCAAAAATGACATACAGGCAATGCTAACAGGCCTACAGCAGAATCTCAGACAAATGTGGGAAGCAGATCTAGCCATACTCAAGCTAGACGTACACACGGTGTCAACGCGCACGCAAGCAATCGAAGAAGAGGTCAAGGGACTGAGGGAGAATTACCTAGCTCTAAGGGAGAAAGTGCGCAACTTGCACGCCTCACAACTGACAATGGCTAGGCAAGTTAATCTCTTGGATGACAGAGGGCGCCGCAAAAATATTAAAATTCGAGGGGTGTCGGAATCAATGCCACTGGACGAATTACCGCATTTCGCTAGACGCCTTGTGGCCACACTTTTACCAGCCAAACAGGCAAAAGCATTCCAATTCGACGGGATCTATCATATAGCTAAATCCCCACAAGCACCCACCTCAGCTCCACGAGATGTAATCTTAAGATGCCGCTCAATGGCGGACAAATTGGGGCTAATGGCAGCAATACAAGGGCTGACCCCACTCGACTTCGAAACATGCAAAATCTCCTTCTTTCAGGACCTGAGCAGAGCCACACTACAATGGCGCAAGAGCATGCACCCAATCACCAAGCAACTCCAAACGGCTGGGATAACCTATAGGTGGGCGACCCCAGGAACTCTCTGGATCACTAAAGGCGACAAGCACTTCAAGGCCACCGAACCCACAGAAGGCCCAGCACTGATGACTGCCCTGGGACTACCGAACCCCACAGAAAACTTGGGGACACCACTAGACCCTCAGCCTGGAACTTCCGAAGCTGAAACAGCCGTGACTCCTGGAAGAGGCAGAGATGCCAAACCCAAGACCTGAGGGACATACTTAAGCCGACAGCCGACTAGGCTTCAGTTCGCACATTCAGTTCAAATGTTCTGTGTAGCTAACCCTGACTCTTAAACTATATATAGTTCTCTGTTTTTTCTCGTTCTGACAATTATTGCAGCACGACCGAGGCTCACTAGATCCAACCATTTATGCTCCGACGACACCTCCCCCCCCCCCCCTCTCCCTGGGGTTATAGGGAACCGATATCGAGGGCGATATAATAAACCGGACTGGCATCAGGCACATCCACTAGGTTGATAACCATAGCCTGGAACCACACGGGTCCGACCTGATCCTGCCATATTACAGCGACCTATAATCGTCTGGACACACTAGCCATAGCTATGAACTGTTTTAGCGACTACACGCAGCCACCACTAGACTGAAGGGACACCCTACGACTCATAAACCCACATCCTCGGGACAAAGGGCGAGACGTTAGACACAATACCCAGATTTAGTCATTCCCACCCTGTTCCCGCAGCTCACGACCCTACAATACAAGGGGCGATATTGACAGATAGGTACCCTCTATCATCACGATTACCCGACTTACATCACTCGTTATAACATTGAGACCAATTGTATCTATAAAATGTTTGTGAAACGATCCTAGACATCTATTTACATGATATTCACTGTTTTGATGTGTAAAGACTATTGTGGTCTTACACATATGTTTGCCATTTTCACGGACGAAAAATAAAGATTACAAATATAAAGCGCCGCATCGCACAACCGGACCACTGAAGACCCCAATAGACTCAGGCAGCAGTTCCCAGCCGGTGCAGCGGCTGGCACTGCCGCTATTACCCACATTTTTTCTCGTACCCCCAGGGACGCTGAATTGTTCCCCTGTGGGTACACGTACCACAGGTTGGGAACCGCTGATCTAGATTGTAAGTTCCCACGGGAATAGGGCCTTCATCTCCTTTTGTATTAGTTTATCAAGTTTTGTATTGTCTCCTAGTTATATTGTACTGTATCTTTTACTTGCACCAATTGTAACCATGGAGAGCAGTGCAGAATGTGATGGTGCTTTATAAATAAAGTATAATAATAAAATTATGCATTTTGAGGTGATGCCTACACAAGCAACTTATACCCTAAATTGTAGTGAGTCAGTGAAAGCAATGAAATGAATGATTATAGACATCAGACTGGGCAACAGTGTGTATTTTCTCATTAAACATCATTGGAAAGTCTGTGATTGGACAGCTGGGGAAAGTCTGGGATGGGCTAGAAGAGCAAAGACTGCAGGCAAGTTCCACAGTTTGTTTTGGGTTTTTTTAGTTCATTTTTTAGAAGACAAAGCAGTATACAGTTGTGATACACCATGTCTCATTTCCTTATTTTAAAGTAAATTTATCAATGCAAATTAACACTAACAATGAAAAAAGGAAAAAGAGGAAGGAGGGGAATACAATGCTATTAGATGGGTATAAAAGGCAAATTGTACGTTATCCTAATCAGATAGCTCTATAACTGAGACATGGGTCCCAAACTTTGTGTAAGGAAGTGGACGTTTTATAAATAATTAAAGTTAACAAGTCCATAAGAAAATGTTCTTTCAATGATCTCCTGCACGGAAGGGACACTCCCTGAGCTAAACCCCTAAAGGCTGCAAGGGTTATTTTATTAAACCGCTTCTGTGAGTGAATCAGAAGCCCATCATTAGGATGGAAGACTAGGCAAACCCATGGAGCCTAATCTGTTGGCCTCAGCAGGACAGCCAGCATGAACAAGATCTTTAATTCCTACACCCCAAAAAATGAACTTTTCAACAGTTCCTCCAGATATGGAGGTATGTGCCACGTTGTCCACAAAGGCGCTAACAGGAATTTTGCCCATTTGATGAAGCTGGATAGGGATGGTTTATATAATGGATACTTTTGCAGTGATTATATGTATGTTCCAAAAGAATGTATGACTATAAAAATAGAAGAAAGAAAAAGTGAAGGAAAATAAGTAAAAAAAAAGAAAAAAGTGAAAAGAGGGGTAAACATTATTGAAAACAATTGTGAAAAAATGGGAGCAGGACAAAATAAAAATGGAAACATAAATGAGAAAAATATAGTCACAATTTCAAAAATGTGTCACTTACTGTATCAGAGGGTGTAGCTGTATATATTGCTGTATCAGAGGCTGGAGCACGAACATAAAAAATGAAATACTAACATTTAAAGTCAAACATGTAAAGCAAAGTGTTGCTATTTTAATTTAGAACCTTTCATTGTTAAAATAAAATAACAAAAATACTGTTAAAGCTGTAATTCAGCAGAGGGGGATATTTTTGTTTGATTTCCTCTAAAATGTAATGCAAAAGGTATGTTGCAAGAAAAGCTTTCACGTACAACAATTAGAGAATATCATATGAACATGCCATTAACGTGTGGAGTTATTAAGCGCACTGTTATATCTCTTAGAAAATACATTAAGCTATGTGATGTATTTCTTGCATTAGGACACCATTAAGATCATGAATACCCATGTGGCTTTTATAATGGGAGCAAGGAAATGCAGAGGAGAGTTATTTATTGATGGACGTGGAGGAGAGAAGGTTGGACATTGCAAATAGTGCAGAAAGTCATTTGGAGAGAGACTGAGGAACATTTGCAATGGATAGCACATCAAAATCAGACGGTTCTTGCACTGCGCATTTGGATGACGGGTAATATTTGAATTTATATTAATTTCTACTAATTGTATTTATAATTTCTATACAGGACATTGACATTTTTCTAAAAGACTTTCTAATAGATAAATAACATCCATCCATGGGCTAGTCAAGACTATTCTAGTTGTAGTCAGCAGGTGGGAGTCAGATAACCATAACAAGGATCTTACCTTGCAATGTTTTTCTAATTCAAAATCCAGGCTTCTGTATGGCTCAGTTCTCTTATGTGCTGCAATAACTGCACGTGCCTTCAGTGGAATGTACAAGACAGATTATTATTTAAGATGTATTGAGAGGCGTTTTTGAAAAGATTGTGTGAAAATCAATAAGCAGGACAGAACCTATATTGGACAACGTGAATGATTTAAGCTGGGCAGAACCTCTTGCACTTTACCTACTGTACAATGTATCTTGCTGGATGCCAGCATGTTCTCCAGCACTGAATCAGTGCATTGCACATCTTGAAATACTTGATTTAAACAATAACTGGTGGGAGCAGGACTGCAACTTATCATGTACTTACATCTATTATTGTGTGATGCTAAAGGGAATCTAGCTCAGAAATAACAGAGAGGTTTATTCACTAAACTATGTATTGCACCAAATTTAAATCCAATTGCTAACATTGAGTTGTAAAATAACATGATATGGACAACTTGGAGTTTAATGAATAAGTCTGATAATGCAAAATATCTTGAAAGCTTCTTTGTGCTAAACTTATTCCGTCATGGAGAAGAGAATAAGAGGTGTGCCCAGGCACTCCCTAATGCAGAGCCAGGTTTTCCCTCCTGCTCCCGCTCCCCTCCCCGCAGGCTGATATGAATTTACAAATCAGAATACTGAAATTCGAATACATTTGGTTATCACTTCAGAAAATTCAAATTTTGTGCCTCAAAAAAAAAAAAAATGTAATTTGTACTTCACTTTATAATTGTTCAATAAAAGCTCAGTACAGTTATAATGTAATTTGTTTTAATAAAAAGAAATGTCTCCATTGATAAGTCAATAAGTATTTCCTCTTATTAAAAGAAAAAAACTTCCAGGGGAACCTACCCAATAAAATGTGGTGCACATGCCTACGGAATAGAGAAAAGGAGAGTGGAAGAGGTGAAAATGAAAACCGGAGATTAAGGTGGAAAAACAAATACCTTTTATTGTGATGTACATCATGGAAATTGTGCAGTTGTATGAAAACAACAGATCTGTTCAATGTTGCCTTGCATTATGGCTTTTTTTAATATATATTGAAAGAGCAGTTGAGAATGTGTAAAGGACTCTTTGAGAGAGGTTGAATGAGCGGATATCCCTTGTAAAAGGCAGAGGATGACCATCTCATGTGAATACAGTGCATCTACCTTTATTTTACCCTGTTTACCGTGATACATTAACCTTTCGGCACTCCAGATTTTGTGGACTACATCTCCCCTGATGCTTTGCCAACATTATGCTTGTAAGAGCATTATGGGAGATGTAGTCCACAATATCTGGAAAGCCAAAGGTTGCCTACACCTGAAGTAGCACATAGCTTCCCCAGTCTAATAGACAAAATTAATTATCTTTTTTTTTTTTTTTAAATCAGCAGCCAGGAATTTATTTAGCAATGTTATGTTTTCTTTCTGTGTGCACAGCTTTTATCCCTTTATTGCAAAGGCAGACATATGTCTCCAACATACAGCCAGACAGCACACATTGCAAGGGTAACAACGTGCATTTAGCAAGGGAAAGCAACTATGAAAAGGAGATGGAATTAGAGATAGCATGACGATCCGTAACTTTTCCATTAGTTCTGACCAATACTGAAAGGACTACTAGCAGCACCCAGAACACTTCATCTCAGAGTGCAGTGGCCCATTAGTTTTAACCCTGTAATGGAAAACATTGCAGTGTTATAGAAACTGCAATGTTTCCACTGCCGAATTATTTAGTGAATACCTACCTGACAAAATAGGACGGTTTGCCATGTCACATAATACTACTTTGTCTTATGTATTTTCCTGATACTTGGCAATCTTCACAAAGCTTAAGGCAAATTCACCCTTTGCTAGTTCTACAAAGGAAGTGGAGTCTACCTTCGTCAGGTGTAGGACAAATATTTCATGCAAAGTAGTCTCTACTTTGTCTTGTGTTTTAATGAAAAATATATAAGAACAGAAGAAGAGACTCGGAAAGAGAAAACAACAGGAGAAAGGAAGTATATGACAGGCAGCCTCTTTAAGTTCTAGGTGATGTTCAATATTTTAATCAATTGCGCAATATCCAAAGACTTGGTTGTTCCCTTTTAAATATTAGTTTTTAATGTTTCAGTTTTAGAGTGCATTCAGGACATTCATACTTTATACTGGTTTGTGGAGATTTTAGTACTTTTTAAATAATCACATGTAAACGATCCAATGCTTGTTCCTTTTTTCCTTTTAGTAATGCTGGTCCACTACATGCTTATGTTTAAACTGTTTAATATGTCATAACATACTAGCAATCATTTCTCTCATACCCAGACCGGAGCTGACAGAGTTAGAATGCTGCATGGTGAAAATTATCAAGATATTTCATTCATATTCTGGTGTACACTGCAAACTGAGGAAAAAAGATCTAAAAGAACTGATAAACTCACAGATGTCTACATTTGTCAAGGTATGAAGTCCCACCTAGTCACGGCCCTCTGACTGTTGTTATGCTACAACTCTCATAATTCACTATTAAATGAAACAGATGGCCAGAGTTGGACACACCTGTGATTTATAAAATGTGTAAAAGGAAACAGCTAGAAAAATCAAACATTAGCTGGTCTAACACAGGGATTTAGGATGAAGGGGTTAACGAAGAAAGAGAAGATATCGGGATGTATGGAAATGTAATATGTAAGGGGAAATGACAGGTGCAAACACTGATCAGCACATCCTTCCAATCTCTTAACCCTATAGAATACATACCCTTTCTCCCTACTAATAGATATATATCACACACCAACATTATATACTTTTTTTTTTTTTTACTATAGGTGTTTTGTTTTCATCTACACACCTCATGCCACTAACGTGAATCCAAATATGACCACTGTTATTCTTAATAACTCTTTTCTCACTCCAATTTTGTTCACATCAAGACCACCATAAGCACACACCTCATACTTGAAAACAAATTATCATAAACCATGGCCTGCTCTGTTGCTGTAACTTATCTGCTGAGTGCTGGTGGAGAGTTATAAAAAATAGCCCTCCTACCCCCACCCAGGGGAGGGCAGCAGCCTTAGGGGGCAAATCCAGTCAAGTGGCCCATTGCACCAAAAGGAGAGTAAAAACACCTTTCCCATGTGATTGAAAGGTGGATGGGGGAGGAGACAGTCACCAAAACAGACACGCACACTTGATGATTTGGCACACACTAACAAACACACACTCACTGACAAACACACAGGCACACACATACACACAGACAAACACTGTTACAGGCATACTGACACACAGACAGACATACTGGCACACACACAGACAGACATACTGGCACACACACAGACAGACATACTGACACACACAGACATAATCATACACACACATACACCCAAACGTTACACTTTTAAAGCCAGTAGACAGGGAATGAGTAAGGGGACGGGGCTGAGGAGAGGCATAAAAAAATAAAAACTAATGTGTATTCCCCCCCCCGAGTCTTACCTTAGGCCAGGGAGGGGTGGGCAGAAGCAGGAGCCCGCAGGAGCAGCAGCCAGCATACAGCAGTCAGTGGAGTCGGACGGCCTCTCCTGATGATGTCAGGAGGAGGGGGTGTGACTTCCTCTGCTCTTCTCCCAGACTCCCCAGCGGTCCTGTGAGAGGAGCAGTGAAAGTCACGCCCCTTCCTCCTGACATCATCAGGAGAGGCCGGCCCACTCCACTGGCTGCAGGCTGCAGGGAGACAGGTTGAAAAATCTGAGTCCCCGGCCAGAGGCAGGGCAACAGCCAGAGGCAGGGAATTTGGATTTTTGCTGGATGCAGCCAGCCTGGGGGCAATTGCCTCTGTCCCAGCCACCACCTCACAAAATTATAAAGTATCCCATTCACTATATGGCCAAACAAAAATTATGTCCAAATATCTATTCCTTATGTTACTTGCCCTTGAAAATGATGTGGAGTCTAACCCTGGTCTACTCCTTTCTGTTTTCAGATCACACTCCTGGTTTACTACCAGTCATTCATGCATACTCTGTTTCATATAGGGACATTAAGGGAGTCAACTTTAACAAAATGTTTAAAGTAATACTATAGGCACCCAGACCACTTCAGCTCAATGAAGGTGTCTGGGTGCAGTGTCCCTATTGCACTTAGTGCTGCAATGCAGTTCCAGAGAAACTGCAATGTTTACATTGCAGCACTAAGTCTGCCTCCAGTGACTTTCTGACATGCATCCACTGGAGGCGCTTCCTGGATGTTAATGGACTTTTGGTCCGGTAACTTACTCTCAACATCCTCACACTCTGAATGAGGACATCCAGCGTCAGCTATATCCCCATAGGAAAGCATTGATTCAATGGTTACCTATAGGGAGGCCTAATATGCATACATTACTCACCACACATGTGCATTAGCATCAGATAAGTAAATAAAGGGCTTTTGACCCTTTATTTACTGCAGCGGTGGAGGATACTATAGAGCTAGGTATACAATACTGTATTCCTGGCACTATGCGCCCCTCCCCGGTAAATAAAGGGTTAAAAACCCTTTTATTTAGTTACCTGATCCCAGCGCTGATGTCCCTCAACGCTGGGTTGACGCTCTGCCCCCTCCGACGTCCCGTGACAAGTGGGCACTAATGAATCAATGCTTTACTATGGAGAAAAATCTGATGCTGGGTGTCCTCATGCAGAGCTTTGAGATACTGCACTTGGAGCTCTATTCAATGAGCTAGTAGGGAGTCCTTGAACGATATGTCACCTACTGCTTCTAATACAACCCCTGTTTCCTTAGCAACAGTCATCCACTGTTAATTAGGAAAAAAAACTCATTTATTCTTGATTTTAATTCTATTCACAGCAAATCCAAGACACCAAGACACTGGACTTCATCTTTTCAGATCTGGATGCTAACCATGACTGTGAGATAGACTTCAGTGAATTTTCTGCATTAATCGCTATGGTCACCTCGGCTTGTCATACCTCATTCCATGAAGGGTAGTGGGCCTATAGGATCAGAAAATGTGGTTTTATGAGAGGATACACAGCATGTAATGGCATGGAATACCAATTTATCGCAAACGAATGGCCTGAGTACTGCTTGAGATACATATATGTTGATATGGCTTGGCAAATTGGAGACTTTCATATCAATGCCAATGATATCAGTTGCACTCTGGATGTACTACATGAGGCAGACAGTAATTTGCATGTGAACAGAAGTGTTAAAGGATTAAATGCAATATTTACAACCGTAAAATATTTAAATGTAACCAGAAATAAGGTAGTAAGGTAATGTTTACAAAAATCTTTTTTTTTTAAGTTTCTCAAATGAATTCTCAAAACCAAAAATGATTACAAAGAACTACAAGTAAACAACTCAATACAATACTCAAATTATTCTCCCCATGCTGTCCAGAAAATTATGTAAGAGTGTTTTCCATTGATGTAGATTCCTTTGTTTTTGTAGATTTAACTCGCCTCCTGGAAAAAGGATATATCTAATTATTTAATACTGAGTCAGCAAGACATAGTTTTAGTACTGTTATGGCTGCTAGTGTTTCTTAACTCATGGATAGTTGCCCGAGGGCCCCACAAGCATAGGAGCCCCATAAGCTTGCCAACTTTTCAATATATTGTTGTGGAAATAAGGTCTGCACATATTTCCTAGTTAGTGAAAATGTCTATTTACTCATTCCATGATATACAATATAAGCTATGCACACATGATTTAATTAAGATGGCTGCTAGAAGCTTCTAACCCCTCCTCCCCCTCCCCTTAACACCAACTAACTACCTCGTGCAGCAAGATGGCGCCGGGAAACCGTGGGAGACCCTCATGGTCCTGGTGACATCACCCTCAGTAGGCAGAGCATTAGGAAGACCACTTAACACCTAACCAATTATTGATGTATTATTCCATGTTATCTCTGACAATGCTTATGATGTAATTTTGCTTTAAAAGGGACCTGCCGTCCCCTCTGAATAAACTTTCCTCAAGTTATTCAACAACCTGGAACCTGTGTCTGGTGTGAATTACTTCAGGGAGCGTGCACGCATTGTTTCATTGATTTGGCCAGGGGCAGATACACAAAGAAATAATCAATACCTTGATTGATTTTTCCATTTCATATATTATTCCAGGAGATTTATTCAGAACCTTCCAACCCTCTTTATTAAAGGATCACTATAGTGTCAGGAAAACAAACCCGTTTTCCTGGCACTATGCAATCCTTAGGGTCCTCCCACCCTCAGGGTCCCCCTCCTGCTGGGTTGAAGGGGTTAAAACCCCTTCAGCCACTTACCTTAATCCAGCGCCCGGCTCCCTCGGCGCTGTTGACCTCTTCTCCCCGTCGACGTCAGCTCCCGAGTGGAGCCGAATGTGCATGCGGCACACATTCAAACAGTCCATAGGAAAGCATTTCTCAATGCTTTCCTATGGACGTTCTGCACGCTGGATGCGATTTTCGCATCTAGCGTCACAGAAGCGCCTCTAGCGGCTGTCAGGAAGACAGCCACTAGAGGTTGGATTAACCCTGCTATGTAAACATATCAGTTTCTCTGAAGCTGCAATGTTTACATCTGAAGGGTTAAAACCTGGGGGACCTGGCACCCAGACCACTTAATCGAGCTGAAGTGGTCAGGGTGACTATAGTGTCCCTTTAAAAGATTCAGGTGTACTAATAACCTTAATATTTATATCCTGACGACCAATTTAAGCCAATTATAAAGCAATTATCTGCAAAGAAATGTTGAAAAATGTTTTTGTTGAACACTTGATTAATGATAAATAATTCATAGTACTTTCGTACTGTGCCATCTCCATCTGATTTACCAACTGAGTACCATTTTTATTATTTCAACTTTATGGCTCATGTTATATTGTCCACATGTTTGCGTGGAATAATCTCTGCTGTACGGCATGTTTAATGTTTAAATGCTGGTTTTGTTGGAGATAAGCTTCATTTTATCGATGGTGAGTGGTTGTGTAAGCCGGGCCCCAGTGCACTGCTTTTCCCAGGGGCCAATAATGCTGTTAAAACAGCCCTGTTTTTGTGCTGGAGATAACAAGTATGAAATTTGTTCTTACAAAAGGCTTTTATGGATGTCAAACTGAACAATAATATAATCACATAACACAATATACTAAGCATAAGAGCCAGTACACATCATCTTAGTATAAAACTATTTAAAAAAAACATTCACTTGTTTTCCTTATTCGTACAAAAACACACAATAGTCTTGACGTGAATAGCAATATCCCTCACTATGTGTGACATAGATAATGAGCCAATTTGTATCAATAACCTTGAAACTAAACACACTCTAGGTTCTGTGGATGAATATTCCATCAGCTCTTATATGTACAAGGGTTTTGTACTTCCCTTATACATAACACACATCCTCATTGTGGCCAATACAGTTGGTGTCCACATGAAAGAACACCACCTTCAGCAGCTGGCACGAATGACTTCATCTACACAGCCCCAATATAGAAATATAAAAATAAATTAATTCCACTCATGTAACTAAGATCATAGATGGACTGGAACATGTATTTAGCAGTTGAAATTCAGTAACGACAATGGTATTTACAAAATCGAGATAATCTGAACATTATATTAGTTTGTGCCAGATATCACGTTGTTTAGTGTTGCAGTAATAATGAAAAAAATTCTCAACAGTTTGACAACATGGCGTAATTGCTGGTAGTGATAGTGCTGACTCTCTAGCTGACCCCTCGAGTAAACTAAGCAATTCTTTATGTTGGAAAACAATGGGGTTAAGTTATTTTTGTAGCAAAGGAAGGATTAATTGTGAATTTATTAAGAGATCAAGACACCTGTCAGCACATTTTCTTGTTTTCATTACCGTTAAAGGACTTCTTAAAATTACACCATGTGTTGTGATGATAGTCACAAGAAAAGTGAAATAGTGTATAAGTTTTGCACACTGTTACTTAATCTCTGAAACATTTAAACAAGACAGTGGACATATACAATCTACACATATCCAATTTACTAAATATGAGATAAAAGTCTACTGACAGCATAAAAGCAAGCCTAGGAGAGTCTGGTTTAAAGTATTAGACCTCAGTGGAACAATTTGCCTCAAAGAAAAGTCAAAAGACCCCTGCGACCGCGGTATGTACGCCACTGCATGCAGATACACACACACTTAAAGGACCACTACAGACACCTAGATCACATCAGCTCAATGAAGTGGTCTGGGTGCCAGGTCCCTCTAGTTTTAACTGTGCAGCTGAAAACATAGCAGTTTCAGAGAAACTGCTATGTTTTACTGAGGGTTAATTCAGCCTCTAGTGGCTGTCTGAAAATCACAGTGAGAAGACGCTGGACGTCCATAGGCATTGAGTAATGCTTTCCTATGGGCGGTTTGAATGCGCGCACGGCTCTTGCCGCTCATGCGCATTCGGAGCAGAGAGGCGGGTCGGGACGGAGGGATCCCCAGCGCCAAGGGAGTCCGGCGCTGGAGAAAGGTAAGTGCTGAAAGGGTTTTATGCACATACACACACTCTCACGAACAGATGAATACACACTAGTTAACAGACACACATTTACTTACAGAGACACACTCAGCGACATACATACACACTCACTGACAGACAGACACACATACACACTCATTTACAAAACATACACTCACTAACAGTCATCAAACAGACTCACTAACAAACACACACAAACTAACACACTCAGTCAGACACTCACCGACACACAAAATAACACACACACTGACACTCACTAGCAGACACACACTCAATAACAGACACAAACTAACACACTCACTGACACTCACTAGCAGACACACACTGACACAAAAACTAACACACACACACATGTTGTTTTAAAAATGTGATCCCCCAGCCTCCCTACCTTTAGAATTGCTGAGGGGATTCCCTGGGGTCCAGTGGTGTTGCTGGGCGGCCAGTCCTGCGGGCATGACGTCATATTACGGCTCCGGCATCAGTGCGGTGCGCGCCAGGGAGCTGGGCAGAGAGCGCTCAGGGGAGAGTGCCCCAACACGTGCACCCGCCAGCCCGGTGCCACCAGGGCCAGCCTCGGGGGGCACTGAGGTGGCCAGCTCCTGGGCCCCCCAGGAGAAGAGGCCGGCCACACTGGCATACATACCAGGTTGCAGGGCCCCCTGGTGGGCCCGGGCCCAGTCGCAGCTGCGAATCCTGCGAACCCGGTATGTACGTCACTGAACACTTATTGTCATCTGTTCATGTCACTCAAGACCAACCACACCTCAGTGTGAAATGTATGTAAGAGACATTTCCAAAATAGTGTGTAGGTAACGGGACACTTTAAGCACCAGAACCACTGCAATCCTTGTCATGGTACCAGCATGCCCTTCTTTTTAAAATTTTTAACATAAAAAAACATTTATTTTGAAGCTACTTAATACACAATAGGCAGGAAAAATATATATCACTCAAAACCTGGACTTTTGTGAGCTCTCATGTTATTGTAATTAGGCCGCTAAGGCACTGGAATCTTTAGTCTTTGAAACTTTTTCAGGATGGTAAATTTTGTTAAATATTTAATTTTTAAAAAATGTCTACATATACTCTGCACTGAAATTCCAATACTTTGGCTATTATAAAACATTAATTATGCATTCTACCAGTACATACCTATAGCTAACATTTGCTTCTCTGTTTATCTGTGAAAATTCTCTGTTTGCAGGAAAATGAGAATTACTTGAACACAACTAATAGGCGATTGAAGAACAACACTATTTTATAAATATATTTATTTATATAACCATTTGTTTTTGCGTAAGCCATATTGTCAGCATGACACACAAATTATTAGCCGTCAAATAACGTAGTTAAAAGATCAAATCCAGTGTAGTGGCGTTAATACTCTGCTTATAACATACACAAATTGGAATAAGATAAAATAAAATTTAAAGAACCACAACGAAACAAACAACATTTGGACTGATTCTCGTTGTCGTTTAGTAAGCTCCAAGCGAGGCAAAATAAAAGGCAAATGCAATATCAAAGTGAGCATCTCTTTAATTTCATCATTCGTGGTTAGCTCACCAGTAAACAGTCAAGTCTATAAATATGGTTTGTGCTGCCATTCTGGCCCCTAAGAAAATATTATTGGTTGTCTCTGAAGTAGGAAATACCACAGCTATTAATTGCAATAAACACGTTGTTTCAAATCCTTAGCTGCAATGGATTGAACACAGAGAAGATGAATAAATGTTAACTATAAATAACAGTATGGCATGTTCCTCCATGCTTGTATCAGGCATCTTAACAGAATGTCATTATATGTGAACTTGGCTACCATAAACTAATGGGTAACGTGAGAATGTACAAACTTTACATATTGTGACGGCTAGTGAACGTTACTTGCATACTAAGGTTAGAAAATAATCTTAATTACGAAAAATCTTTGGTGAAAAAATGTGTCTCAAAAGCATTTCCAAACCTAAAAGGTAAGCGTGAAGTCTCAAGAAATATAAAGAAAATCTATCAGTAAAATTGTTACATTCTAATTATCAAAGGAAACCACTTGTGTAATATTGCTGTCCGTTCTATCAGTATGCCGCTAAGCATCCAATTATATTTCTGCTGTACTTTTATTATAAGAACCTAATACCTATCTAGTGACGGTTACTTCTTCCAAGCCCTAATAATTCCATTTCACATCTTACCTTCCCATATGCTGTAAACAATGATATACGCAAACTGATAGCATTTTTAGTGATGAAATCAAAGAAGTAGGTGCAGGTGACATGCATTGCAATAACAAGGCACTGTAATGTTAAAGGGTTACCTTACTTTAGCCTGTAATTATTATTGCTTTTAATGTCATAATCTGTTATTGTTATCTGGGCCCCCCTACTTTATTCTGCTGTAGAACATTTAAACGTGGTTTGAAACTTACCTTGAATCCAGTACTGGACCAAGTTCTTTGTCTTCTTTTGCCGCATTATCATTTTCCATTTCTTGGTCCAATCAAATGCTTTTCAATGAGAAGCACTGTTGGAGTTTTTGCGCATGTAAATGTGCCAATTTAGATTATTCTATAAGGAAGCCTTGAATCCAATGCTTCCCTATAAGAAGCTTCGAACACTATACCATGCATGCACTGTGGACTAGGGGTTGGACAAATGGCTACTGCCTGCCCACCTCATGATTCCATACACAACCTTCAAGGCAGCGGTCTGAAATGAGATGGGGAGGGAAGGAGCATGCAAAAGAAAAGGGGTGGACAAATAAGGAGGGAATAAAGGAAAATATACAGATTAGGTAGTAAAGCAGGGAGTGCTCTCATTGGGGAGGGGGAAACCAAAAGAAAAAAACACAGACAAATGAAAGCTCAAGTAGGGAAGCGTGGAGAGCTGAGGGAGGGGGCACATTTTATTGTACACATTTAGTTGCTTCTACTTGCAGGCATGCTTGAAGTGCTGTCTGCAAATGAAGAAGGTGATTACATCCAATGCTATCACGTAGTGAATGCTGAAGACGAAGGTAATTTTGCACAGAACTCGCATTAAGCACAGTCACGTGTGCCGGAGGTGCAACTGGACCCGGAGCAGTGTATAGACAATGTTCCAAGTAGAAACGCTGCACATACAGATTGCTTTGCACCATGGCCGCTTTTAAAAGCAGAGATGGTCAGGAAGGTTGGATTAACCCTTTAAATCTTAAATGTACGATTTACAGCCTTTTAATTCAAGCCAATATAAATGGCTTCAGCAATATCAATTCTGAGTTAAAATCTCAAAAGTAGAGCAATCAGCAGGGGTATTCCACGGGTTTCCTACAATAGAGACCTTTGCACCACAAATAATAAATCATAAATCTGCATAACTTTTCTTAGAGAATTAAGATTTAAAGTTTGTTAAAACTATAAAATACAACCATAATTTGCCTTTATATCTGGAAAAACACAGACAAAATTACAGTTCATTAAAAACTACAGATAACCAAGACAGTCATTTCTACTGAGTGTGTGTAAAAAGTGCCTGGCTATCTTGCTTTGTGTACCATTATACAGATTACAAGCATAACATAAATAAAGCTTTATTTTGGAGGTCACATAGGTCTTATTTTTTCCCATCTGAGTTTTGTAGGACATGACTAATACAGTGGTAACTTTACCTGTGGTTCTAGCCTTTGGTTCCACAAGATCCTCATGGTGGTTGTTGGGTTGACAGTGCGAGTGTGAAATTGTGAGAAATTGACAAATGTGTGTATATACAACAGACAAAGAGACTATATTATTTAGCACCTGCGGTAAGCTTTGTGGTTAATTGGAACTATTATTATATAATGTAATCGTTTTTAAAATACTTGCAAATAAAAAAGGTTGGGTCATCATAGTTTGGCATCTAGCACTGAGACAAAGATGCTTGGATATAAAACAGTTTGAGAGCTACCAGACAGTGAGTTCCCCGGTTGCCAGCATCTATGTTCATAGTTTATCAGTACATTATTATTCAGCTTTCTATCATTTTGATATCACTTAATAGTTCAATACAGTCACAATGATGTCACATCTGCGGACGTGACAACAATTCAAACAGTATCAGACATTCCAAAGTTCTCTTAGCACAGTTCTAACCAGTTTAAAAGCATTCTCAATTACAACAGATGGCCTTGCTGTGTGTTCACGTTATCTTGGAGAAATAGGTGGACTGGCCCTTCTTTGTTACACATTGAAATTATTGAACCATTCATATTTAAATGAACATAATAAACATGCTGCAAAAGCTGGAAAATGAGCTATTAAGGCAATTTTGACATTATTAAAAACATATGCATAATATTATTTAAAGTTCTTATAAAATAGAATGAACACAGTGTGATACTTGGCTCCAGTTCTTTCTATCTTTAATCTCTAGCACTGTTTATCTGTCACCTTGGATTTGTAGTCAATGTTACCAGTGCTGCAACAATATGCATATCTCAGATAGCAAAGAAATCATTTATCTGTTCTGTATAAAGATCCTCAAAAATGTTTTTTTTCCTTGCAGACTGTCTTCATTATTGTTTAAAGTCAATTAAAAAGCAAAACTGTCTCAAATGTTATCTTTTCCAAATGTGATCCGAGCCTTGCAAGGTGCTGATGCCACAGAGGTACCTTTTGGAACCGACGGGGATAAACAGCAGATCAAAACTTAGGCTAAAATGTCTCAAAATTCTTTAACATCTTCATATACAAAACAACAGGAAATAAAACAATAGATACAGCCCAAAACCAAAGGGACCAGCCTTCCAGCCACAGGGACAGCTTAGAAGATGAGTTTGCAGGAGGAAAGAGCAGAGGACCTTAGCTAGAGCTGTTCAAAGAGCCATCCTCACTCCAGTTTGTCACCCAATCCTTCTTTTTAATGGTCCCTGTCTTCTCTTCTCGCACCATTGGTCTCTCTTCTTTTGGGATCTTCACAGCATGGTACTGCGGCAATTTCTCATCCTGATAACGTTTTCTCTTGAAGAAACCACACTGTAAAAAAAGAATGAGACAAGATGTGCAAGTTAGAATAAAAGAGAAAAAAAAATAAAGGAACAAACACAACTTGAGTTAATCTGACTATTTCTGAGTTATAAAGCTAAACCCAAATATTATGGAACAGATCAATAAACCTGTTGTGTTGTGTTTCACAATAAATGTTCTGACAGACAGTATAGAATAGGTGTATGTTGTAGAGATACACCTCTACAACAGCTTCAAGTTAAAGTTACAACATTTTTAAACAAGAGTAGTAAAAGCAATGAGTGTGATGCTTCCTTTCCAGTCCAATTGGATTTCTAGTTTCTGTGATTTGACATAGCATATACATTATACATAAACTGCCTTTAATATAGGACTGTTTAGTTATAGGACTTTTTATGGCCAATACAATGGGGTCATGTATGAAAAAATATTGTCTTTGCTTTTACATCAGTTTTGTGTGTATGGCCAATTTTCTTTTGTATTTTTTATCCACTCAAAGAAAAGGAATTGTGTGAAAGTTTCTTAATTGTCACAATAAACCACCACAAAGACAGCGGTGGAAAAAACTAGTGGGGAATAAAAGGAGCACATGTACACCTTTTTTGTTTAATACGCTGATTGCAACACATTTGTGAACCAAAAATACAAACAAGAACCAAAATTGAGCAGGTGAATAATAGAAGTAGTATGGAATATTTTGCCACATATAATGGAATAAATAGACACCAATGCGAAAAGCACCAGAAAAATACCTAAAATGTGACACTTTTGATACATAACCCACATTGTCTCTAAGAATATCCTGTTTTCCTAAATTACATGAATTTTCTAAGTCTATGGTAATCCCCATTAAACCACTGGTCAGCAACAACAAGGAATCATACAATACCAGCAAATCTGATAGAATCTAAAGATTTTCCCACATTTCTTGCACCTGTCAGGACAAAGCTTTATTGATATCTTCACTGGAACAGAATTGGTAGTTAAATAAGTTGCCTTATATTAGTCCATAAAATCTGTATTATATTAGTTTAAAAGTATTATAATGGGCCATTTGGAATATCTGAGAAAATAAAATGAAAGATCAGCCATTTCTCACCATGCAAAATAATCAATCACATAAAACCACAACAACATTGGGTTAATTGCAACCACAACAAGTCAACGTTAGAATAGAGGACACATGGTAACATGTAAAGAACACGCGTGCTGGGTGTTACCAGCTAGGCCTCTTCCTCTGCCTGCCTGTCAGCCTCAGAGGGCTGCACTCCCAGCTGTGCCCGGTAGTAGTTGGTAGTATACTTGGACTCTGCAGTGCTTCTCTTGAAGAAACCACACTGGAAGCAATGATTGGAACAAGGGATGAAATGAAGTGAATGTGAAGTATCATGGGAAGCTTGAATGCTTCTGGGAAATGGACGAAAAATTCACATTTTGCGTTGGGAACAATTGGACACAGTGTTAATGTGAGGAGTGTGTACCTTTAACAAATTAAAAATCAAGGAGCTACAGAGATGGAAACTTTAAATGATTATAGAGTAAGTAGAATTGTCAGAACTTTTTGGTTGTTAAATTTACAATCTATTGGAAAATAACTTGGTCCATCAACATGTTTGACACAATATGCATTATGGAAATCAATTTGAGAACAGGACATAAAAAAAAAAAAAAAATGGCGCTCAAAATAGAATGTATTGAATGCCAACACTAAGGAAATCAAATCATTTTTAGATTAAGCCTTGGCAGGAAAACATAACCTTTGGGAGAGCATAGAAGAACATATTCAGCATTTAGGCTGCAAACAAGCTCTTGCTTTTACTGTCATCCTCATCAGGACTTATAGATAACTAGTTTCTACAAAAAGAATAGGCATGAAATAAAAGTGGAATGTATCAGAACTGTAGGTGGATATATTATTACCTGAGTGCTTATTATGTAGTAATAAATATTGATTGTTATATTTACTGAACTGTTTATTTTATTAAGACCTAACAGGACTTAGAGACAAGCACTGGAAGAAGGCTGCTAGCCGAAAAGCGTCTGCTTTTATTTAATATACCTGTTATTTATTATTTTATTTGTATCCCGATACTCTGGGCTACTATACATAGGGGTAAGTGGAACTCCAACTTTGTTTTATTTCACTAGTTTCTGTATTGGGTTCCACCCCCATAGTGCCCTGAAGTATATATCTTTTATTGATTTTTTACAATAAATATATTTTTCTACCTTTGATTGGAGTCTCATCTGCCTGAATCACCTGGATCACTAGCCAGAACTTGGCACCCGTGGGCTTGACTTACAGAGCCTGGTACGGTTCTGGAGAATGTGAGTGGGAGTTCTATATCTATTTACCACTTATAGTTACTATACAGTCCACACTTTGCTGTTTTATATTTTTTTCTTGTTTTAGCTTATATCTCAATCAAGCTCGTATGCTTATATTACAATCAAGTTCCATATTGGTAATATTTCCCAATTTATTGAAGTCACGTTGGGGAGGTGTACGCACTGGTATATGTCTTTTTAACTGTACTATTAATGTCTGGTGCAAAAGGGAAGCATAATTTCAGTGAAGCGCCTACACACTATTCTTTCTTTTCGATATTTTAGGAATTATATAGAAAATACATTAAAGGAACACAAACTCCAGACCTCTAAAGCACTTTAGCATTCTGAAAAGCTTTATATGTGAAGAGTGTGTCCTATTTTTTCCATTTGGCAAAAAATGCAGATTTCAATAGAAATTGCCACGTTTATGAATTATAATGGTCACATCCCCTTGGGTTTTCAGGCAGAAAACAGGTCCTGTTACTTCCCTGTCTTGTTAGCTTATTTGCACTGAGCTCAAGAGTCAGCAATTGCCCAAAGCACCTGCATTGCAAATACTTCTCATTGAGCTGCATTGGAAAGTCTGTGATTGGACAACCACAGTCTGGGTGGGATTTTAACAGGAGGGCTTACAAAATCAGCAGACAAGAGATCTGCAGTTTTTGCAGGCAGTTTTTATATATAACTCCAATGATAAAATGTAATTAAATGCATGCAAGTTTGGGGGTATATCTACTAAACAGTGATTATGATTTATTTTGTATTTGGGCAGTGGAGTGTTCCTTTTAAATATGTGCACAAACATTAAAGGAACAATATAGTCACCAGAACAACTACAGCTTATTGTAGTTGTTCTCGTGTCTATAGCCTGTCTCTGCAGGCTTTCTGCTGTAAACAATGCCTTTTCAGAGAAAAGGCAGTGTTTACATTACAGCCTAAGAACACCTCTAGTGCCCACTCCTCAGACGACCACTGGAGATGCTTCCTGGGTCAGTGCTGCACAATGTGCAGCACTAACATTCAGCGTCTCCACGCTCTGCATGGAGATGCTGAACTTTTCCCAGAGAGATGCATTGATTTTCAGAATTGAAGATCTCGGTCAATACGATGCTATCCTATGGGAAAGCACTGTGATTGGCTGAGATAATCCATTCTGATGATGTCAACCAAGGAGGCGGATTGGGGGCAGAGTAAGTCCTGGCAGACCTGCGCAACATAGTAAATGAGGTGAGTTTTCTAGTTATTAAAGGGGCTGAAAGGTGGGCTACTATGCTTTTTAACACTATAGGGTCAGGTTTACAAGTTTGTGTTCTTGACCCTATAATGTTCCTTTAAATTAAAGTTTTTAAATGAATAAAACAATACATTTGAATTTGAAGATTGACCAGGAGGTGACTCAGCAACTGTGATTCTCCCTTAACTTTCAATACCAGTTCTGCAGTTGTCCTTTAATCCCTTGCACAGCAGTACCTTATGGGCACATAACACTTTCTGTGAGCTGTAGTTCATGTGATGTTGACTGTTATGTCCATAGTGGTTTTAAAGAAAATTGGACAAAGTATCGTACCAAAATAAAAAATCCCCGAAATGATTTGCTTCATTTTATTAACTCATACAAGCAAAAATAAACAAGGACCTACCTTCCACAAGATGCACACAAGGAGTAAGAGAAGCAATATTCCAGCCAGTACTGCAATTAGAATAATCCACCAAGGAATTCCCCCATGTGCAGCCACTCCAAGCTCTGAATACAGTGTCACTGGAATCTACAGCAAAATCAAAGGAGGAGGGATTACTTTTTAAGAGTCTCACGGTGAAAATTCAAAACTACAACTATGAAGTGGTGCAGTACATGAGTACACTTGCTGCAAAAAAATCAGGGCAATGAAATTATGTGCTGTGCAAACAAAATCATATGTTACCTATAAAGGTCAACAAAAATAAAGGGCTGTTACTTCACAGATGAACGATCTGCAGACACACAAAATAAAAATGACACAACAGAAATAGGGAAATATAAACAGCTGTAAAAGGCTGCTGATACTATACCATATCACAGGTAGACAGGGCCAGTGCAGGGATTTTTGCCACCCTAGGCAAAAAAAATAAAAAAATTGGCCCCACCATACTTCCAAAGTGGTCCTGAAGGTTTAACCCCACAAAATAAAACATTGCCTTACCTTGAAAGGTTAAACAAGACTCTAGTAGCTGTCACACTGACAGCCACTAGAGACACCTCCACTACAATGCCATGTTTACATATACACACACACACACACACAGACTCACACTCATTCACTCACTCACACTCAGTGGTCCACAAAATTATAATCAGTGACCAACATAAATTCACTGACTCCCGCAGAGTGACACACACGCACACACACACTGACACAAGCAGACATACACTGACTTATAATACAAACACAATGGATGGAGCAATTTTGTTCTTTCCTCTTCTCCAATATATTGCTGCAGAGATAGAGAAATATGCAAAATAGTATAGACAGTTTACAATATATATTAAAGTGCAAGGAAACACTCACAAAATCAGAGCCAAGGAACCTGGCTCTGGTATGGATGACTTCTGGATCTATTGTGGGGTGATCCTAACCCTTCTGTAGTTGGTATGGTCTCCAATAAGTAGAAGAGGATCCAGAGGATGGAATAATAAAAATCTACTTTATTACAAAAATATATACATAAGATAATAAATAAAATATGGAAGAATAAAATATAAGTACTTTAATATATATTGTAAACTGTCTATACTATTTTGCATATTTCTCTATCTCTGCAGCAATATATTGGAGAAGAGGAAAGAACAAAATTGCTCCATCCATTGTGTTTGTATTGTATGTACTTTTGTGTTGGTATAGGGGATACCACACGGGTGTTTGAGCTATTATAGTCACTTACTGTGCCATTTGCATTTGTAGTATATACACTGACTTATGTAGACTGACATACATACAATGGCCCAAGCATACGCACACAAACACACACACACTGACTGATACAGACTGTGCACACTGAGACCCAGGCAAACACACAGACCAAAGCAGACACGCACACACAGAGACCAAAGCAGACACACACAATGACCGAAACAGATACACACTGATCTAGACACACACACACTGATCCAGACACACACACACACACACTGATCCAGACTCAAGCAGACACACATACTGATCCAGACACACATACAGACCCAAGCAGATACACATACTGACCAAACACACACACACAGAACCAAGCAGACACACAAAGACCCAAGCAGACACACAGAGACTGATACAGACATACACATACCCAAGCAGATATACACACTGATCCAGACACACACACTGACCCAAGCAGACACACTCACACACACACTGATCCAGACACACACACACTGACCCAAGCAGACATACACACACACATTGATCCAGATACACACACACACACACGTTCATCCAGACACACAGACACATTGACTCAAGCAGACACACACTGATCCAGACACACACACACACAATGACCCAAGCACACACAGACCCAAGCAGACACACAAACTGACCTTAGCAGACAAACACACACTGATCCTCACACACACTGACCCAAACAGATACACACACACGGACACTGACCCAAGCACACACAAACACACTGACTGAAACAGGCTGACACACACACACACCATGATGTCCCCCTCTTACCTTCATTTAATGTTAGCTCTATGTGAGTTCCAGTCCAGGCCTGGCTGCCTTCATGCACTCTGAACTACGCCCCTGCGATCCTCCCGCCCACTTGACCCAGAGTACAGGAAAAGGGGCGGGGGTGATCGTACGATGCGCCCATGCGCTGCCGGGATATGAGGTATGTAGGGGAGGGTGGCTCTCAGTGCTCTTTGCGTGCTGAGGTTGATGGCACCGGGCACTAGTTTGCCTCTATGTAAGTGCTCTCTTGCGCCCGGTGCCATGACCTCTGGCACGCAGTACAGAATGTGTCCCACATAGAGGGGGGCAGCACAAACCAGCAGTAAAGCTGCTGCCCGCACCCCCCTTTAAGAATCACCCTAGGCAGCCACCTAATCTGCCTACAGGACGCGCCGGCCCAGCAGGTAGACCACCCAGCCAATCTAAATTCAGTAGACTATATCGCCCATGGTGGCCTGTCTGCCTTTTAGCCAACACAGTATTATGAGCAGTGTAGCCAACATCATATGGAGTGGGATAGGTTGGTTGTCTACTATTTATATCAATCATAGTAGTACAGTAAATGGAAGGTAAACAGATATAGACGTGAAAGGAGGAATACGCACCTGGGTAGTGGCATGTCTCAGCACCAGGTGCTCCAGAGTGGACTTCACAGTAATATTCGCTCTGATTATAACCTCCAATGAACTGACAGTAGAATATTCCTGCAAAGGGAAGGATGTGGAAGAATTGGAAGAGGTTCACTAACACGCCTATACAAACCATTAATTTGTTCACAAGGATCTCACCTCTAATAAAGTGCTGTTCCAAAGCCGCCCTTGGACCTTTAGCACCATTTGCTGTTCTATACTGTATAGAGGGCATTGAAACACTATGCAGTTGGCAGTTGCTCTAGCACAGTCCTGAAGAAGAACCGACAGAAGGAAAGAAGTAAGAACTGGCAGAAAATGTTATGGTGATGGTAAATAATAACACAAATTACACAACCCGCCCTCCCACCCCACTGTGAGATACAGCTGGTTTTATATTATAAATATTCATACAGTCAAAATTACACTACTGCTATTTCTTTGTTTACTCAGATGGTCTTATATCATAACTAATCAAACGGCCAAAATGCCAAATGTCATGCCAGTTCTAGATCACCAACCTTGAGAATAACATTATCAATGATATGGCAGGAATGCTTGACTTTTTCCTTTGTCATTCTAGCCATTGTGACTACACTGTAGAAGTCATATCATATATTTTGTACTTTGCATAATTTGTATGTCAGTTTAGTTCTATTTCAATATAATTGTTTAGAATAATTATTTTGTGGTGCCCTTCTTCGTATATGGCTGTGTATGTTCTTGCATGTTTTGGAATATCCATTTGGTTGAATATATTGCAGGGTTATCCATTGAACTGAGAACTGTCGGGAATAAACCAATGAATTTCAGATTGCAAAATGAAGTACATAAAGAAACTAAATAGTGACATATTCTAATTCGCGCTATTTTAGCTAAAAGTTAAAAATTCCCTGGTGAATTCCCAGCAAATCTTTGTGTAGTGAATAACCATATATTTGTTAATTTATCCAAATCTGCTGAGATGTTCCTGAATTTATGCATTGTTCTGGCAGAAGAACGAAAGAGACCGAAAAATACACGAACTAAGAGTAGAGGAATGACTTGTGCTAGGCTAGCATCATCTCTTGGCTCATGTACCGAAGAACTCATGTATTTCCTGTATACTAAGGACCATTGCATGGCTCACAAATTGTACAAGCATTTCTTTGGTTTTTCTTCTTCTTTTTTTTTTTTTACTTTTTCAAAGAACTTTTGATAAAAAGATATTTGGCTTTTGCTATACAGGGATTGTAGGCCAGGCCACTAAGAACCGTCCGAGAAATCATGCCCATCATTAACTATGATTTGAACTCAAACACACTGTAAGTAACAGATCATTGGGTAGGCCACGTCGTGGGCATTAGGAATGGGTGGATCAATCCTTCCGGTTATTTCAGAGGGCATGTGAAACAAATGCCTCACAGGTTATGATGGCCTATTAAGAAAGGTATTTTTTAAAGGCTGGGTGTGAGTTTGATCTTGAAGCCATCCTGGAAATTACTAACTAATTCATGACTTGGGGGTAAGTAAACACAAACACCAGCACACACTGTACATTTGTTATTGAGTATATCAAGATGCAGAGAACATAAAATTAACCACACATGTACATCCAAACATACCTAGAACTTTGACATATTGTATGTAACAGGTCAAGAATGAAAAGGTCCCTGAGAACCTCCACCCACTACATGTAACAAGTTGTTTCAACCAACTTTCTTATAACTGCTTTTATCATTGAGACATACATTACTGAACAGTTGGCACACTAATTTTCTGCATTATTAATAATGAAGTTATGGTGCAATACCTACCAGAACTATGTCTTTCTTCTTTGCAGGATAAGAGAGGGGCCACCGGATTGCAGAACTGGGAGTGTGATAGCTCTCCACACTCTTAAAAGGTGTTTCAACTCTCGTCTGACAAAGGTAGAGAAGGGAAAATTCAGAAAACTTAGGTTAGGCTCGTGCTTGCTTCTCATTAGTGAAAAGCATAAATCTGTTGTGGCTGTGGTATTCTACCTATAATAAAGTGACAGAAAGCTGAACAGTGATTATTAGATGAGTTGGTGGAGGACCTAGGTACTTACGTTGTATCGCTGAGAAGAGGACTCATCCTTCATAGCAGTAAAGGAAAAGAAGGTGATACAGGGATTGATCCAAAACTGGTGTGATTGGTGTGTAGTCAACTTGTGCAGGGTTACATTAAATACACCTCACAGCTCCTCCTGCATAAGATTCAGGACTGATTTTATATTACTCACACCTACCAAATTGAGTGGGTTGACAGCATTTCGGGGACTGCACTCCATCTTCTGCCCAGACTCATTCTTTCCATGCAGATGGATCTTCATTGGATAAAGTAGCCACTTCCCATTTATTAGTTCATGTGGCCACATGAGATTCAGGAAGGCGGAACCCAGGGTGCGCAGGGACTTCTGACCACTGTTAGACACCTGAAGAATACATATGTCAACAGAAATCTTAGACACCTTGTGCAACTCCAGAAAAAGACTACCGTACCATACTAATACCACACTGACACCAAGCAGTAATTTACTGTTTCATTTTTTTCCCCTGGAAAATATCAGGATGTTGTTTGATGGTAGAGGTTATTTAAGAAAAAAAGGTATTTAAATTACAAAAAAAAAAAAAAAAAACAACAGACCCACACAGATGCAAAAAAATAAATACAGATCAAAATAGGTAGTTACTTACAGACACTTCAATGTTCAGTGGGCTGCCCACATCCTCTTCAGTAACCATGGCTGATTCCCCTTTTATTTCTCCACTGTAATACAACCTTGGGGGTGACGCTTCCCTAAAAAAGATATACACTCACAACCAAGGACAATAGATGAACACATTCCTAACACTAACACTAGATGGCAGTAGCCAACTATCAGTTTACATTTTTTTTCACAATGATAGCAATTCTACTTAGGGAAGATGAGATTCTGTCGCACAGGACATTTAATAACCTAATAACCACTTAGAAAACCTCTACCTATGTATATTTTAACAGTACAGTTTCAACGCTCATACACTTGGAGTGCATAAGTGTATAATACACTATATTCACAAATCTACATTGTTTTAAAGGGACACAGCAATGCCCAAATCGAAGAATAAAATAGAAACCACTGCTTAGTAGATATACCCCCAATGAAAACAATGATGCATTTCATTAACACTGAATTTATAAAAACAGATTGAAAACACTACAGGTAACTTGTTTACAGCCTTTGCAAGCCCTCCCCTTCTAACCACGCCCAGACTTTCTGTGGCTGTCGAATTAGAGACTAGCCAATGAAGCTGAATGAGAAGTCTTTGCAAAGCAGGTATTCTGGGTAATTGGCTGCCTCTTGAGTTTAGCTCCACTGACCTAACCAAACCAGAAAGTAACATGAATGTTTGGTTGTCTACTTGAAAACAAGTTGGGGTGTAATAAGATTAATTTATAAAAGTGCCTATTTCTACTGAAATCTGCACTTGTAAAATAAAGAGGGCACACATAGAGAATTTCAGCGAGCTAAAGTGCTTTAGGGGTCCTGTATACTCTTTTTATAGTGCTATTAATATGATAATAATTAGAACGGTGATAAACATATATGCACATTAAAAAACTAGAGCTTTAGAGCTATGTTTCAGAATTCATGATATAAAAATATGTAGAGTGCAGCAGGAAAATATATAGTTGTATTTTACCATCATGTAAAGCTATGAATTGAGATTAATGATTTAACATATCAATGCTACTAAAAATAGTTTGTATAGACCAAAATTGTGGGATTCAGCTATGAATCTAAAATACGGATAAACAAATAGTACATAGTGAAGTATGTCAAAATACAAATGGACTAACTTTGCGCTGTAGATGTACACTCACAAGATGATGTGAAGTTTTGTTTTTTTTAATTGTAAAAATAGTTTGTGTATAAACATTAACCATTCCCATAATGCCAAATACTTACCCAGAAAAAGAAAGGAGAAGTTCGATGATCACGTTGGCTCTTGCCCGCACAACAGGCAAATTAACCTGCTCACTTATTCTACAAAATCAAAACAAGACACAGAGAATCTCAGTGAAATGAAAGCACATATTTGCTGCATACATTTAGTTGTATCTTAGTAGGTACACCTACTAGTATAAGCATGTGCAGCACACTTCATTTGGGTGTGTACACGTGATTTTTAAGCTAAGAAAAAATACAAAGTACATTTTATTTAGTTACAAAAAACTTTTTTTTTATTTTTCAATCTAAAATTAAATCAGTTTTGTTTAAATTATTACAGTTGTAATCAAAATTACTCAACCCCCATTGAAAATCAGGTTTATTGTCAAAATGTGCAGACTTTCAGCTGTTTGCAATGAACAAATAAAACAAAAGCCATTGAAATAGCTCAACACAGCGAATGCTTCAAGTGGTTCCCCCCAAATTCAACTGAAAATGCAACTCATAATGACTTCCCCAGTCTCAAAATGATTCAACCCCCGTCATGGCAAGCGTACTTAGTAGAGCACCCTTTTGCTGTTATGACTTGCTGCAAATGAGATCCATAGCTAGACACCAGCGCTTCACTTCCTCACATGATGTCCATGATGTTTTTTCCTAGGATTTCCTGATACTTCAATTAATCCATTTTGCCTTCTACACGCTGCAGGTTTCCAGTGCCAGAGGATACAAAGCAGGCAAAGAGCATCACCGAGCCAACACCATGCTTAACTGTAGGCAGAGTTTTCTTTTCAGTGTATGTTTCATTCTTCTTCCTCCAGACATACTGCTGATCCATTGGGCCAAATAGTTCAAGTTTTATTTCATCACTCGACAGGACAGAATCCAAAAACCTCTGTAATTTATTTATATGATTTAGACTTTTCTTGTGCTTTTGGGTCAGTAGTCTTATAGTTCTGGCATGGAAACCTTCTGCGTTTAGTACGTGCCTTACTGTGTTCACTGAAGCCTGTTGCCACCAAGTCTTGCTGCAGATCTTTTCCAGTCACTCGAGGGTTTTTCACAACCTTCTTTCTCAGAAATCTGGTTGCAGCCATTGATATCTTCCTTTTTCTGCACTCTCCAGGTAGTATTACCACAGTTTTTTTTCAAATTTGAACTTGCAAACGATGCTTTCATCTGTGTCTCTAGGATCATTTAGTGCCTTCGCTATCTTATTGTATCCTGTTCCTTGTTTGTAAAGAACTATGATCTCTACTCTTAACTTTGTGGGCTACTCTTTTGACTTTTCTAACATGCAGTCAAATATGACACTCAATAAACCCCTAGCCAGTTCAGGTATTTCAAGTGTTCCAGCTCAAGCACACTTGGTGCAACTAATGAAGCCCATGATTGGTTGTATCAGGTGTGCTTGAAACAAAACCTGTTTTGCATATTTGTGCTATTGTGTAGGATTCTATTCAGGGGTTGAATAATTTTGAGTCTGGAGAAGTCATTATAAGTTGCATTTTCAGTTGCATTTGGGGAAACTACTTGAAGCATTCGCTATGTTGAGCTATTTTTAAATTGCTTTTGTTTGATTTGTTCAATGCTGAAAGTCTGTAACTTTTGACAATAGACCTGATTTTCAATGGGGGTTGAATAATTTTGATTACAACTGTACATGTTAATTAAACAATGTGGCACAAAGTGCTAACTGATAATCATAATTAAACATATTGTAAACTTTTAGGTTTTCTTTCGTTAACCAGATAATGAGCAACTACCACTGATAACAAAGTTCAGGTAGAAATATAAATGGAGGACAGGAATAACTGACACACCATGGAACTCATAACTAGGCTAATTAGAGCCATTTGAGACTGTGCCTCCAGAACATCTTTCATTCTTAGAAGTAGCTATTACATTGACAAGCTGCTGGAAACATTCCTTAGGAATGTTGGTGTTGATGTAAACTACTCATACTCAGCTTGTAGAACCAGCTTACACTAAAATGAGAAAAACGTCACCCTATCACAATCCACCATGTACACTATATCCTCCCTGTAATTAATAATGACAGTGCCCCTTACCTCCCACTAAAAATGCCAACCACACAAGAAAATAGCGCAGTATAACATCAAAAGCATTACCATCTGTGTTTTTTGCTGATGGCCCTAATGGTAGCCTAGCAACCACTGCCATGCAATAACTAGTATTCATACATACTGATACCAACCCAGAACAGCAGGTAATTACAGCTCTAAAAGTCAGTTTCCCAAAAGAAAACAATTTTTGGTAACCCATTCTAAAAAAGGTAATTAGCTGGGCATTTCAGAGTGACAAACCAATATGTGTCTCAACTCTGATTCCAAATCCTACAGAGAGTTCTTCCTTACACGAGAGGAGCAACAGGGAGTAGATTTGAATATAAAAGGAGGTCAAATGATTGTACTTGCTGGACACAATGTCACCACAAGGTCTCAATGCAATGCCAGAGTGGCACTGGTTCTTTAAGCTGCTACCCACACTATACAGGACCAGTGTATACATTTTGTTGTCAGTAAAAAGGAATTTTGATTTATAATCCGTACTAAGTCTGCTGCATGTGGAGAACTTCTGTCCAGTAATCTGGTAGCTATATTCCTGTATTGTACCTCAAGAATTAATACTGAGTCAGTTTCTTTGTCTGTGTGACCAATATTTCATTTTTTTCTCTGTTACTTATTGGTATGATTTTTCTGCTGTAAAAGTCTGTTGTTTTGGTTTGCAAGACTTCTATATATTTGTGTGAAATTCGATGATCACAGATGCAAATGATGGATATTGCACTCCAGCATACTGTAATGTTATAATGCTGTATATTACTTGTATGGGTGGTGTTTTTAGCAAGAAACCACTGTCATTACGTATATTGGTTAGTGTTTGGTGCACATTAAGGGGATGATGCATTTAGAACGGGTCACAGACCCGAAACATCTGTTGTTTAACACATTTCTGTAGCACTATGAAGCATAAGCAGTCCAGTTGCGTTTTTTTTCTGAGTATTAAAGGGACACTATAGTCACCCAGATCAATTCAGCTCAATGAAGTGGTCTGGGTGCCAGGTCCCTCAGGTTTTAACCCTGCAGATGCAAACATAGCAGTTTCAGAGAAACTGCCATGTTTACATTGCAGGGTTAAGTCAGCCTCTAGTGGCTGTCTTCCGGACAGCCACTAGAGGTGCATCTGCGACGCTGGAGGCATATTATGCCTCCATCACGCAGAGCGTCGATAGGAAAGCACTGAGAAATGCTTTCCTATGGACACTTTGAATGCGCGAGCGGCACTTGCCATGTATGCGCATTCGGCTCCGCTGACGTTGGCGGGGGAGGAGAGGTCACCAGCGCAGAGGGAGCCCGGCGCTGGAATAAGGTAAGTAACTGAAGGTGTTTCAACCCCTTCAGTGCCACGGGAGGGGGACCCTGAGGGTGGGGGCACCATTAGGGCACTATAGTGTCAGGAAAACCGCTTAGTTTTCCTGACACTATAGTGATCCTTTAACATGGAGCATTAGGTGAACAAATACAAAGACCCAAAGAAGGAAAACACTCTCCTTCATTTGTATAACAATGTGGAATATCAGCATTATCTTCTAATACTGCTCAAAAAAACTGGTATAGCTCTTGGAAATCTCTTAATTTCTTGTGATATAATTTTGGTTTAACCTAAATACCGGCTCTGGGTATTCACAAGGTTTTTACCTTGTATAGGTATTGTATGGAGCATTAGGGTTCAAATTCTGTCACAGAAAATAAGTATGAAGTTATGCTATGATGACTCAAGTGATCTTAATAGATCATGTAAGTGCCAGCAAACCATCATTACACCACCACAAACCTGAGTCATTGACACAAGGCCGGGATCTCTTGATCCTTTATTGGGTGAGGCAAAGAGTCATATTATTTGTTACCTTCTCGAACCGGGCACATAGAATGGAAGGAAGCTGTAAGAGCCGTATGTAGCTATGTAGTTCCTGTCTGTTTTGTTTGGTACACCCTTCAACCAGAGATGCTCCACACATTTATACCGGAAAGACACCATGTCAGGTCTTTAATGGCTAATAAAGGGCAGGGGACACCTAGTCTCCAATATTAGGTTCCTGGGAACTCCTCCACATGATCGTGTTTTGTATGTGGATGAGAGGATCCTGGCTTCTGATAGAATAGGATATCAACAGTCATTTTTATTTCATTTTTGATGTCTACTTCACATTGTCACATTGTTGATAGTTTCTCATAATCACTAGGAAGTTTCCCTTAGTCTTTGTGGTGACAATGCCTAGCTAAAATTATCACTAGTGTAAGTAACACACAGGAAATGTGTCTCTTGATTCTCTTCCAGGGTATCCTTGTCCATTGGCATAATGGGGTGTTTCGGTAAAACCAAGAACTGTGCTATTTGTAATAAACATCCGTCTTCTAAATAAAAGAATATCAATCACACTTAACGAAACAAACTATCCATTGTCAGCAGAGTTTCACTCCAAATTATACTGTGGATGATCTAAAGTCTTACGTGGCCAGTTCAAGTTTCACCTCCAAATCTGTAGTCTCTATATTGATCCCTGGGGTGTTCATGATCAGATAAAAGCTTATCTGTCAGAAAAAAAGGGACAAACAAAAGGGCATCATGAAATCATAGACAAACTCATTACATATGTTATCATAACTTTTATAGAAAAAGAATTGTCTTCTCTGCTAAACCATCAACCAACTTTTGTTTGCAGAATTTTATTTTATTCTAATATTATATTGTAGCAGTTGAAGGCAATGTAGTAGTTTTTAATGCACAGTTTACTCAAAAAAATAATAAATACTGTAGTGGTTATGGTGCCAGGTGTTTCCTTCATGGAGCTTCCATTAGCTTTACGAGCTAAACTCTGCCATGAATGGCCAGCCCATTGGCTGAGAGCATCAGCTGATCACTCTCATTCAATGAACACCTCCTGGCTTTGCTTGATGAAGAGCTCTGAAGGTTCTCATAGACTAGGTGTCTGGAACTCTGCAGATCACACTTACACTGGAAGGGAGGGGGCGCAGGGCAATCCTGGTACCACAACCACTACAGTGCATTGGAGTGTTCCTTTAAAGTAAGTTACAGTACTTAAAGTGAAACGTTCTCAAGTCTGCAAATTACACAGCACAGTATGTCAAATGTAGGCTTTTGCAATCTTGTGGACGACAAAAAAAAAGTGTTTTAATTATTAACTGCGTATTGGCCATTTGATCAATAAACACCTCTAGCTTTGCTTAATGTCAATCAAACCTTTTTAAGAATGCCTCGTAAGGCAGATGGTTACCACTGAAGCCAAGTTTATTCAAAGTGATTGTACACCATGCACCCATCACTTTTTTTCTTTCCCCTTTCAACACATTAGTGAAAACAAAAAAAAATATTGGTAACTTAGGATAAAAGCTGCATCTGATAGTGCAATGGTGGCAGAATTTGAGGAGGGGAGACAGAGAGTAATTTGAATACTATGGAGTACTACTAAACAGCGATGTTACCACAGCATTTCTCTTCATTGGGTTCCCAAGTTCACAGATGGCTTGTGAGGCATTTGTGTTAGAGCTGCAAATCACTGTCTTGTCCTGAGGATAGGAGAAGCACATAAAGAGGATTAGACAAGGGTATCTCACATTTTTTATCAAAACCTGCCAAATTGGGGAAATTCTCAAATTCAGGTATTTGTCCAGCTCAGAAATGTTATATTCACATTTCGTTTTCAAGTCCCCTCTATTCCTGATCTAGTGAATACATGCTAAACCTTATAATAGCACCAGCTTTTTGAGGAGTGCAGAAGAAATGTTTGATGTATATTACATAATCAAGAAAAATATATCTGGGAATAATCATTCGGCTTTTAAAACAGACTACAAATGAGGTAATCCGAGTACTATTATTGTAAAGTAAAGCACAAACATGCATATGCTGCCACATACACACATAAATACGCTACTAGTGCAAGACATTGGTAGATGTCAAAAAGTCAAAGGGCTTCAGCCCAAGGATAAATTATATGGTTCCTTCCAATTACAGCCCTTCCTAAATACCTGCCCTGTACCATATGCCTTGTCTAACCCTAAAACCTAATATAATCTATAAATAGCATTATGACTCCAAATCTTTGAATGAGTTTAGATTGTTATATAGACCTATATTTATAAGTGATTTATCTGCTGTATTAACCCCCTACCATGCTATATTAATCCCCAAACCATGCTGTATTAACCTTGTTCCTGCAGCCTGAACTCCAAAACTTGCCACATTAAACATGAAAGCCCTGCAGCCACTGCTATACCCACACAATATCCTGTATTAACCCCAGGGACTCCACATTCTAAACACTACTTTGCAAACTCAGGTACCCATCATTAGCAATCACTTTTGCTCCGTTTCCACTAAGCGGTGGGTCGGTATGGTGAGGTACGCTATTTTGAGTGTTTTATAAAAGTGGCCCATACAACCGAACCAACCGGCGTGCAGTGGGAATGCTCACCTGAATATGCTGGACCATTCTTACCCATCCGAACTGTACCGACTCGAACCATACCGCTCAGTGGAAATGAGGCAAAAAATAACAGTAAGTATGGAAGCATTTTCTATATGAAGTACTGGCCACATTTCTGGCGAACATATAGATGTACTAGTTTTCAGCTCGTATCTGTGCTTTAGAAGTACACAAATACATGCATTGCTTTCTGAGATGGCACAAAGTGCATTGTTGTGGTAGGTACAGTCTTTTCACCATCGATAGCCTCGTTTCTGTAACTTTTGATAAATGTATAATAAAAGACTGCAACTCTGTTTTCCAAGATAATAGAGGCAGGAGAAAACGAATTACATTTTTAATGATAACTAGACTGCAGAAAATTCGAGAGGATTCATGTTTGTGAAGAGTTTTTTCCAAACTCCAATCACAAATCGGCAAAGCCATAAAATATGTATCTAATCTCTGATTCTACACCCAATAAGTTTGTGTCAATTAGTAAATGTGATTTAGCTTGTACAAGGTAGAGTAGCATTAAGTTAAATAGAAGCACAATAAGCAGTGCGTTATAAGCTGTGTGCTTGGAAATGATAAATGGTTAGAATTATTTTCATACCGTAGATGGTACTGTGCCCTCTACCAGAAGACGGAAGGCGGAGTAGGCCAAAGTATCTGGGAATGTTGCAATGAGTTGAGCTTCATGTGCGTCATCACCATCAAGATGTGGATTCTCTCGGTCAGATGGAAAGTTGGTGATGTCGATCTTAAGGGCTATGTCTTTTGTTTCATTTATTGCAAACACAGGATGGTTGCCTTCTCTGGAATGTCAAAGAAAGAAAGAGGTGGTTACTAGTGAAGGAGACAAGAAAAATGCAAAACCTGCAGATTGTAATTCTACCCCTAGAGAGCACTCTTCATACAACTTTATGGGAAGGTGTTTTGTTATGTGATGGCGTATAACGTGTTCTGTTTGCTATTTATATATTTAGAGGGAGGACTTCTAGAAATGATCTGGTGCTTGGAACCCTGAAAATATTTTACTGTATGTTACAAAGAAGCCAAAATCTCTGGGACTATAACTTTAAGGGATTTAACTCTAAAGTTAAAGGATTGATATGGAACATATATTATTATTCATTCTTCATAATATTCATTATTGACCTTTCCCAAATAAAAACATGGTATAATCTGAAGACCAGAAGAGAGATAAATGGATATGTATGACAATTAACCTAATCCCCTTTATAATAAACAATCATGTTACTGTGTCATATTTATCATGGTTTACTAAGGTGAAGATCCGTCAACTGAAGAACTTACAGTTGAACTTGTATATAATATTAGATACATTATTGTGTGAGGGGATATGTCTAGTAAAATAATATTTAACATAGAGAAAGTTAAATATTGCATTCTCACAAAGCATGTCACATGTTTGGATTGCCACATGCATATCAAATAGAGGTCTCTGGGCATTGTCCAGGGTGAATATTTTATCATACAGGAACAAAACATTGATACACAGCTTTTCAAAAAAGAAAGCCACCCTTATTTATAAAATAGTGATGCCCTTTGTCAATATCTTTCTCTGATTGGTCATACTGCAGTTGATGAAAGCTTTGATTTGGTTGTGAAAGTCTCAATCTATATCTTTCATGTCCCCAGATCCAGTTTGTACATTGGGATAATAGTGTCTGGAAGTGGGCAGTGGATGGTGTTATAGGAGATTCATGGCCAGTGACACCAAGAGATAATAATGCCATATTGAGCCCCTATGTATAGGACTAATGTGTCTTGTGTGTAACATGGGAACACGTTCTGTAACTGTAAGAATGCACAGATTTACCATGTACCCTGCAACGTAACCTACTTACACACTTCAAAAATAATGTGATCATTTCCTTTTCTATTTGGATTACCTACAGAAGACCATATTGAAGAACTGAACTTGGATAAAAGGGATATGCTGAATTCATCATACCTAGTATGCACCTAAAACACAGTCTGGCAGTATACTCACATGGGGAGTGGAGTAAACTCATTGGCTACATGGGAAAAGAAGGTATAATTCAGCTGTAGATTACTTTGACAGATCTTGTCCCATCCACAGCCTTCTCTGAGAAAGTTCACCTGGAGAGAGTGACATTCAATTAAATAAACCAAACTGCAGAGCAACTGCCTACAACCGGTGTACTGAACGGTCAAAAGCATTTCAAACACTAAACGAATCCCTAGTATCTCTTAAGCTACTTTAGTGTGTGATTACGTGTGCAATTAAATTAAAATGCATCTTTTTGTTGACAACAAAATTATACTGCTGATTGGTTGTAAAGTGTTGTGTTGATTGGTTGTAATGCTTTGCAATACACCTTACAAACGAGAATGGTGTACCAAGGGCTGTTTTGCTATCCCCAGTGTAGGGGCATTTACCACTCAGTGACTTGCTGTAAACTGACAGTTAATTTGCAAACATTTAGTAGAAAAATACAATTTAAAATCTTTAAAGGGTCAGTCTAATCACCATAGCAACATTCTATCATTGCAACGAATACAATTCCGATGGGCAGGGATTCAAGGGGTGAGATCAGACTCCACAGCCCTGATTGAAAGGCTCCTGAATGATGGGGCCGCTTCCAGGTTAAGGAATGGTCTGACTGCTCCTCCAGACAGCCTCTTAATACAGCCTCTGAATACATTTTGTATTTAGATTATTATTTTAACTGCATTTTTTGCAGTGTTTTAAATGTATTATGTATATAATATATCGTAAAAATAGGGAGACAATTTTGTCTATTGTTTCACTTTAAGCCCTTAAGGACACATGGCATGTGTGACATGTCATAATTCCCTTTTATTCCAGAAGTTTGGTCCTTAAGGGGTTAAAGGGTTACTCCAAATACATAAGCACTTTAGTGATTTGAAGTGGTCATGGTGCATGGAGTCTGAATGTGCAGTGATTCACTATGAAACATTGTATATGCCAAGACTGACCTCGTGACTGCCAGTGGTGTAACTCTACCTCCGGCAGCGTCATGGGGTATTATTAGCAGGTCTAGAACAAGGGTTTTGAGCTGGCTAATGTCAATTCTCTGCAAATTTTCATGCACAGTTTGGCAGAATTTGGCTGATAACAGTCAGCTGACACTCTCAGCCAATGAATCGTGACTGGATTGGCTTCTGGAAACTGCAGCCCTGCAAGTATTACCCGTCAGGAGAGGCGTCTCTGAGGGGCTGTAGTGGTTATCATAATTGGAGTAACCATTTAAATGTTGAATATTTCCATCTCAGTTTTTTTGCTATAAATTTGGTTTAAAAGTTGCAAGTTAGATGTCAGCTCATGTTTTAGAAATTGATCTCTTAGTCATGCAATGTGTATCCTAAGCATGCACCTCTGTGTTGTAGATTTCTGGTTCTTCATTACTGAGAACAGGCAGGAGAGGAGGCAATGTTTCCACTGATGATTGCCTTTTTTTTCGTGCATCATGTATGTCCCATTTCAGAGCTATTGGAATAGACCGAAGCTTGTCTTTGATACCATCCTGGAAAAAAAAAGGCAACAAAACTGAGCACCAATAGTATAATGGGCTCGTACAAAGATGTCTACCATAACTGATCCTTCCTCTCTTCTCCGTAGAAGCCCTGTCTCTAAAATCCTGTCCATATACTCAACATTCTTTCTGGTCTGTCCCAAAATAACTGAGTTTCAGGACAGAATAGAGAGAATGCTAGGTAAGGTGTTGCATACTCTAAATATTTATGTGTATATCTTTTCATTAGAACTTAACGAGCTAACAAATCCCATTTCATCTGCAAAGATATACAAATTTCAAGCAATTTATGCATAGATTATATAATTTACAGCTGTATTACAAATATTTTAAACAGCAAGAATTACTTTGTATTCTACATATGAAATATTATTTTCTCCGAGAATATTATAGAGCAAATATTATAAATGTCACCTGTAGCTGGAATGTAGCTGTAACGCAGTGGCTGGAGCCTTGCCTGGGAAGCTCAACAGTGCTAGTGAACTTGTAATCTGGATCACTGGGTTGGCGTTTTAAGAAAAAGACCCGACTTGATTTCCCTTGACGCCTCCTATCTTCTTCAGCTTCAAACACGTACCTTAGAACTATAGAAGAAAATATAAGTAATATCGGGGATATTGCAATGTTATATAGATAGATACATAAACAAGCATTAGCTTGTCTATAGAACAAGGCTAAAAATTATTAGAAAAGATTCTTCATTCAGTTGTTTGTATTCCAGTTAATATAGAGGAAACGAGAAAAAAAAATAAGCGGGGCACAGGAAAGATGTAAAATAGGATAAGGAAAGGAATGGTTAAATAAATTAGTTGGAAAAAAAACAAGAGATAGAGGGATCCAGTAAAAATAGTTGTAAACAAGATGGTGTAGCGTTTATAATAAGGAACATGACCAGAAATAATTTTTTAAGAAACATGACACAACACAATGACGGAGAGGCAGTTACAAATTTGTACATGGTGACTAATGGGGGGGGACAGAACACATCAACGCTGGTACACAAACTTAAGATCCTCACAAAGACAGTTGGCTGCTCTGCTAATTGGTGATCTAACAATGCACTGCTGTGATAACTAGAGTTGAAAAAGGAGATACACTTCTCACTTAATATTAGCGATAACCCTAGTATTAAAGCAGATCTACTTATGAACACTGAATTAAGCATCTTCACAAAAATGGCTAACCAACTAACTAGGCTAACTTAACTTTGTGCAAAATCATCAATGTGATACTTTGTTAACCATTAGGGTCATTTGAGTTAAAGTTTAATTTTACATCAGTTAATCAGTTTGAGTAGATAATTAATGTACCATGTATTATCTGAGACCGGGTATTTCATGGTTTAGGAATACATTGGTGGTTGTTTACAAGGTGGATGTTCAAAACACATTATCCTTAGTATCAGTCCACAGACACAGTATCAGTACACACTGACAAGTATTAACAATGCAAATACACAATTAGCAACTCTTTTGATTTGGTTGCAAAAACCGTGACTTTGCTGAACACTTGTATATATATTTATATTTAGAATAGCTAGACATGATATACTACTTACCTTTAATGATATCGACCCCACTTGCTGAAACATAGTTCAACATTAGCAACCTGAATGTTTGGCATGCTACTTCTCTGGTCTGTTTGCAATTTTTTTAGCATATTGACATATATCCTTATCTCTTAGCAAGTACAAACAGACATCTGTTTATCTGGAGATATTGATATTACTAGGGAAATCACTTTTTATTGTATATTTTATTTTGTTTACTAATCACCAATCCTTCATACAGGGAGTGCGGAATTATTAGGCAAATTAGTATTTTGACCACATCATCCTCTTTATGCATGTTGTCTTACTCCAAGCTGTATAGGCTCGAAAGCCTACTACCAATTAAGCATATTAGGTGATGTGCATCTCTGTAATGAGAAGGGGTGTGGTCTAATGACATCAACACCCTATATCAGGTGTGCATAATTATTAGGCAACTTCCTTTCCTTTGGCAAAATGGGTCAAAAGAAGGACTTGACAGGCTCAGAAAAGTCAAAAATAGTGAGATATCTTGCAGAGGGATGCAGCACTCTTAAAATTGCAAAGCTTCTGAAGCGTGATCATCGAACAATCAAGCGTTTCATTCAAAATAGTCAACAGGGTCGCAAGAAGCGTGTGGAAAAACCAAGGCGCAAAATAACTGCCCATGAACTGAGAAAAGTCAAGCGTGCAGCTGCCATGATGCCACTTGCCACCAGTTTGGCCATATTTCAGAGCTGCAACATCACTGGAGTGCCCAAAAGCACAAGGTGTGCAATACTCAGAGACATGGCCAAGGTAAGAAAGGCTGAAAGACGACCACCACTGAACAAGACACACAAGCTGAAACATCAAGACTGGGCCAAGAAATATCTCAAGACTGATTTTTCTAAGGTTTTATGGACTGATGAAATGAGAGTGAGTCTTGATGGGCCAGATGGATGGGCCCGTGGCTGGATTGGTAAAGGGCAGAGAGCTCCAGTCCGACTCAGACGCCAGCAAGGTGGAGGTGGAGTACTGGTTTGGGCTGGTATCATCAAAGATGAGCTTGTGGGGCCTTTTCGGGTTGAGGATGGAGTCAAGCTCAACTCCCAGTCCTACTGCCAGTTCCTGGAAGACACCTTCTTCAAGCAGTGGTACAGGAAGAAGTCTGCATCCTTCAAGAAAAACATGATTTTCATGCAGGACAATGCTCCATCACACGCGTCCAAGTACTCCACAGCGTGGCTGGCAAGAAAGGGTATAAAAGAAGAAAATCTAATGACATGGCCTCCTTGTTCACCTGATCTGAACCCCATTGAGAACCTGTGGTCCATCATCAAATGTGAGATTTACAAGGAGGGAAAACAGTACACCTCTCTGAACAGTGTCTGGGAGGCTGTGGTTGCTGCTGCACGCAATGTTGATGGTGAACAGATCAAAACACTGACAGAATCCATGGATGGCAGGCTTTTGAGTGTCCTTGCAAAGAAAGGTGGCTATATTGGTCACTGATTTGTTTTTGTTTTGTTTTTGAATGTCAGAAATGTATATTTGTGAATGTTGAGATGTTATATTGGTTTCACTGGTAATAATAAATAATTGAAATGGGTATATATTTGTTTTTTGTTAAGTTGCCTAATAATTATGCACAGTAATAGTCACCTGCACACACAGATATCCCCCTAACATAGCTAAAACTAAAAACAAACTAAAAACTACTTCCAAAAATATTCAGCTTTGATATTAATGAGTTTTTTGGGTTCATTGAGAACATGGTTGTTGTTCAATAATAAAATTAATCCTCAAAAATACAACTTGCCTAATAATTCTGCACTCCCTGTATTTACTTAATAATCTTACTGGCGTAACTATATATTGAGTCACTTTGTATACACAGTGTATTTATCCTGTATTAATTCATAATTACTTTTATTTCATTTATTGATTATTTTTTTTCCTTTATATATTCTCCTTCTGTCCTTTATTGATGGTTCATGTAGTAGCAGCATGATATATTATTCTCCTGTGACTGACATCGCCTTATAACTATTGTACTGTATGGTATGATTTTTGGCAAGTTGGTTTTAATATCTAATAAAAGTTATGTTTTATAATTCTGAATGGATGGACAACTCTGTTGTTTGGTTTTTTTCTACTCTTATTTAGATGTTTCATAATCCTAATAGAGAACGTATACAGGAAGTGTATGAAAAATCTGTATTTTTTATCCTATCTCTCTTGCTATGGTTTGTATCACTCTGCTGTTACATCATTGCGCAACATGAGATAATTGCAAGAAGACCTCTGTTCTCTCATATATGTCTTTATGTTTTCATCTCCTTAGTCATTGAGTTTATATTAACATTCAGGCTTTGAGCACACAGAAAGTGTTTCTTCTGTTCAGTGGCTACCTATAATATATGGTACATATTTTTTGTAAAAAACAAATTCTGTTTCAGAGGTATACATGTTTCCATTTTTATATTCATAGTTTGGTCATTAAGGTACTGCTGACTGTAAGAGAATCAATGTACTTATTAGATTTGACGGTGAAGCAGAACTATTTGGAGTGGAATGTTGTTTGTGCACATGAAGTGATTCTGCACCACTTGTAATAAAGTACAACTTTTTTTTTCAACCATCCCTGACACATTTAATAAGGACACAGCTTCAGAAATAAAAGGCAATCATGACGGAAAATTTCAGTCATGTGTCCTTAAGGGGTTAAACCAACTAAAAATGGGTAAGATCACACATATTTCATGAGAAAATTACATACGACTATACAAGTAGAAACGAATGGTATAATCTGGAACACAACCGGGTCAAAGCACAAACTCAGTGTAGTTCAGCAAGCATGAAGTGGCATACTTACTAATCCTAGGATTGTATGTTTGGGGTTGTGCAGTGTAGCTGAAACATGCTCGTAAGTCCACACTGAAAAAAAGAGTACAGAGAGGTTTTAGACAGTATTAATATTCATGGATACTTTAATTATGACTGGGATTAAAAAGAAAATAATAAATGTATAAAATGAAAAACAAAAAATATAAAAATTAATATCATGAGTTAAACTTATTATACAAAATTAAGAAGCAAGTTTTCCACCCACATTGACACTTTAAGCACTATAAATTCACTGATGTACTAGGTTTATAATTAATAATTTATTGTGTGCTATTTGTATAAGTGTAGAACATAGCATAAAACAAAATAAACTACTCAGCATTGATTTAAAGATGAGCATTTTTTATCTAAGTTATAAAAAGGATTAGCGTAAAATAAAGGGTTGAGAAAGCAATGAGATGAGAAGATAGTGAAATGCAGCAACATGGACATTATTTCAATAAACTGATATGCACTCACCAGATCCCATTAGTATGCTTGCAAGTCTGTTGCTCCAAGTCAATTTGTTGTGGGTTAATGGTGACATCTTTGTGGAGACGAATAACATTGCGTGACCTGAATCAGATGAAGATATGGTGAAAGACTAACTCAGCACAGGTTATGAATCTGTAAGACTTAATCCTAAAGGTTGCCACCACTATGCTGGTAAACAGGAAACACCGTATACATGCAGGCCTGGACTGTCCATTGGAAAACTAGGCAAATGTTTATAAGGTCCTATGCAACTTCGTGAGGGAGTATAGAGGTCCACACTACTTCCTTGGTCTAAACTCATCTACTGTACTCCAGAGCTGAATTACCAGTGGGCCACGTAGTAAGCAGTAACCCTCTATAACTGCCCACACTGCGTCCACTCACATCAAGGAGGAGAGAAAACTGCCCTCCAAGGTAAAAATAATGGAATGGCCAACTTTTGGCCCCAGTTCATTATTGCATATATATATTAGCTCTTTGTGTTCAGCTAGGAGACATGCACGACATACAATTTTGTTATTACAATGTGTCAGTATATTTCCACTGGCAGACATTTTGTGTTAAGATAGAAATTAAAAATGTATACTGTAAATCACCATTGAAGCAGAGGTGACTCCATTTTGTATCACAATGCAAAAACAGACACATTTTTACTTCTGTGTATTCTATTCATTCAACCCTGTGCAAAGGAATGCGTCTAATGTAAACACTGGCCAGAGTTAAGACTCTCTACAAGAAGGGGGTTGAAAAGCAAAAACAACAGCCCAGAAACACATATATATAGTAGACACTCTCTCTCTCTCTCTCTCTCTCTATATATATATATATGTATATATATATATATATCCACATATAACTAACTATAATTATATTTAATTATATATAAATAGTACCTATATTAATAATATTGAATATTCATGGATAGAATGCCAATGAAGAAATGTCATATTATTAAACTAACACAATCTGAATGTGTGTAAAAGACATATATATATATCACATGTGTCATATTAATATGTGCTACACACATAGTTTCAAACAGAAACAAGACAAAGGATTACAAATGACAGATAACATTAAAAGTAATTAATTTTACTTTTTAAATATTAAGGATCTGCTACAAAGTTCCATTGTATTAAGAAGGTGAAACCAAGGCTAGATGTGTCAAAATTCTAATTTTATGGACCAAAACGAGACAGTCAGGCTGAGAAAAGACTTTGAAGACTGACAGGTCTTTTATGGACGGGTATCGTAAAGATAACAAAAAATGAAGTCAGCTGCATCACGAAATTCAGTTAACCCCTTACACAAATAATTGGAATTCCTGACAAGAATTTCTTGTGGTGCTATCACGCCATCTACTGACCAAAATCTAGATGATAGCCTGTAGGGAAGACACGCCTGCCTTACTCGATTGGTCATTGAAACTAATGATGTAAAGATTCTCCTTTAAAAATTAAGGACAAAGGAGAGAGGAGGATCTTGGGTCTGAGATCGGAGCAAAAAGGCTGACACATCTAACTTTCTGTATCTGTTCCAACTAACACTTAACTTTGAAATTCTTATTTCCCACAATTCTTATTCAAACTTGCATTCACAATTTCTGGAACATATCTCCAAGCCTAAAGGAAATTCTACAAAAAGAAACTGGTAATTATGCTGGTTTTATGTAATTTAATTTAATTTAATTTGAAATAATTAATTTTACTAAAAACAGAAATATACCTGGATAAAAAGGCTGGTCAGATTTCAACTATTATGAAATCATAGCTAGCTAATGAAATATACTGTTCCAAGTTCCTTACTGCAGAAGGAATAAAAACCAATATATTTACTGGTAATTTGCCAAAAATAGCATATCATCTATTAACCAGAGATATTGACTTATCTGGATTTAGGGATAGTCTTTAAATAGGAAAGTTAAAATTCTGCAAACATAAAATCTGGTTAGAATTATTCTTATTGGTTATTGGATGAGAAGGAATGATTAACTGATCTGGTATGAGAAATATTGTATTTTGTCATTGCAATATAAAAGGTATTTTGCCCGCGAGAATTGTAGTCAGCAGTGAGTGAGTTAATTCAGTGTGATTCAGACAGACAGAGAAAAGTTTTTACGGCCATATGCGGTGTGTGCTGTCGTGTGAGGCTGTGAGATGCTGTGTTCTGTGTTAAGAATTGCATAGCTGATTTCAAAGAAATTCTCTAGTCGTAAATCTTGTTGAAATTTGCATCTATGTGGAGATGTTGCTATTGAGCTATCTGTAATTGTGTCAAAACCATTGCCATATTGTACAATTAAGTTATACCTAAATATTCACTGATTATTGTCACGCATGTTGCATAATATTATTATTGTCACAATCAATTATATTTTTATAATTAGTTTGTGATTAATGTGTGAAATACAAATCCTCTAATAAAATGTACTCCAGGGTCGATAAGAGTTAAAAAATAGTGGGTAGCTCTAATTTTTAATTAATAAAGGGGAACAGTGCCAATTTATCAGTTTTTTATATAATAACAATTATTCAATTAATTTTTGATAATTTTTATGGAAATATTATTTTTAATATTTATCACCCCCTAAATATCCTCACAAATTTGAGCTAATTATTGTCTGATGCAGCCTAGACAGAGTCTGTGGAGAGTATAGTCTAGTTTCTAACCACTAGTTATCAAGTTGCATATATATATAACAGTTTGTAGCTTTATATGCATTGCGCTGGATTCTAATCATAAATATGTATGATTACATGGTTCTACAGGTCAACCATTCACACATCTCAATTTTAAGCAATATTTTTCCTATACTTTAATTCAACAAATATAAATATAATCATACAATGTAAAGACAGTTTTTTTTATATGTTAACAAGGAAAGACAAGGAAAAAACACAACATATCTAATTGTCGTAATGCTGTTCATGAGAAGACATCAGAATGGTGAACATTGTGATCAAACCTAAACACTGTGATCGAGCCAGATTTCTCAGAACTTGTAAAACAATCTTGTATTTAAAGGAACACTATAGGGTACGGAACACAGACATGTATTCCTGACCCTATAGTGTTTAACCCACCATTTAGGTGGCTTGCCCCCCTTTTGTCCCCCTATAAAAGTTTAAAACTCACATTATTTCCAGCGCCGCGTGGGTCCACCGGCGCTGGCTCTGCCCCCTTTGTGATATCATCAAAATGGTCGATTTTTTGCCAATGCAATGCTTTCCCATAGAAAAAGCATTTGATTGGCTAAAATCGGCACAGGGCAGGACCAAATGCCGTTTTGGCCAATCAGGACCTCCTCATAGAGAAGCATTGAATCAATGCATCTCTATGAGGAAAATTCAGCCAAATTCTCTGAAAAGGCAGTGTTTACATGACAAAAACCTGAAGGGAACTATTATGCTCACCAGAACAACTACATTAAGCTGTAGTTGTTCTGGTAACAATAGTGTCCCTTTAATTAAACACTCAAACTCACCTGTATAGGACCACTGTGTCAGAAAGGGATCCTACTGCAAGATCGGGGTATGAGTTTCCGTCAATATCTAGTCCTCCAGAGAGTGAGTATCCAAACGTCCTCACTCCAGCTCCAATTCCATCCAAAACCTTACACAATAAAAGGAGAGTGGTGGAAAGGAAGACAAGAGATATGGGATTTGCTAAATGAGATTGCACATAAGAATGAAAAGAGTTATACTATGGAGTACAACAGAATCAAGTCAAGAAATATATATATATATATATATATATATATAAGATAAAAGGCAGACATAACCTGTTAAAACACAAAATGATGTGTGCTTATCGTGAAAGCTTTGAAGCCTTCATTAATGAGTTATGAAATAAATACTATTTTTTGAAACATGGGATGCATAGCTAACACATACATGTAGAACAAAACAGCAATGTGAAAAGAAAAAGATAAGAACAAGCCAGTAGTCCAACTAGTACTCTAATAACAAGGGGTAACCCCAAAGTGAAAACTATAAAGGTAGACGGAGAATGGAGAATGGAGAACCAAAGGGAACTGGGATATAGTATAGCCTGAGTGAAGTGTCAGCTGTCTTCCAGACTCAGAACCAAAATAAAGAAAATAAATACATTTTATTTAAATAGTAAAATTACATAGTAAAATAACCCAATGTGAAAAAACTTATATACAGTGGTGCTCGTGTACAAAAGTGTATTCATCAACAGGTATAACGTAGGTAAGTGGATAGTATCGTCAAATAATCACCGAGTGCGGTGAATACTATCTTACTCAAAACTATCAACAGTAAATATATCCAAAACTACCTGTTGAGGGATCATAATGTGAAAAAACTGCAGATAATTAAAGGGAATACCCATGCACACGTTTGTGCCAGGGTAAATGTCTCAATATATCGGTGAAGCAATGGAATGTCAATAGCGGGAGAAGGGAAGGGGGGAAAACAACGAAATTCTTAGTCAGAGCAAAAGTTATACTTAACCATAAGTAAATCACCATATAGTTATCTGACTATATGGAAGGGGGTTACACAATGCCCCCATGGTTGTGTTCTAATTACTAATGGGTCATGTTCATTGGAATTGCTAGAGTTAGATAACAGACTGGTGGTGCTGAGACATTAGGAGGGTCTGAGGTAATCAAATTCGATCCATATTTCTTGTAAAATCACTCAGCACTTTGCTTCATGTGCTTTAACAGGCACCTAATGCTGGTAATGCTTTCAATATCAGGCACTCAGTAGTTATCTACCCGTGCCTTCAAATGCACCTATAAATAATACCCCTTCAATCCCAGGAAAGCAAGTACTAAAGCAAATTAATTACATGCAACTAAAGTAAGCAGACAGCTCTGAAACTTTCCTCCCGTGCCTTCAAGGGCACCTATTGCTAATCCCACACTAGGCTAGAAGCACAAAATCCCTATACAAACGAGCATGACAGCTCCGTAGGTGAGTGGAAAAAATAAGAAATAAGCACGGTGGCAAGTCTGTGTGCTGTTAGAAAATCAGTCAAGACAGCACTAACAGGACCCCTGGCGCGCGCGTTTTGCCCGACCTGGCACGTCAGGGGTCCTGTTAGTGCTGTCAGAGTCTGGAAGACAGCTGACACTTCACTCAGACTCAGTGGCGTACACATGACCCATGAGGCCCCGGTGCGAAAATTGATCCGTGGATCCCCGCGCGCGCCGAATAACTCGGCGCGGGTCGGGGCCGCAACACATGGCGGTGGGCACCTGGTCGCAGGGGTTGCAGGGCTGCAACCCTGGGACCGCGGTATGCACACACACTTAAAGGACCACTACAGACACCCAGATCACATCAGCTCAGTGAAGTGGTCTGGGTGCTAGGTCCCTCTAGTTTTAACCCTGCAGCTGAAAACATAGAAGTTTCAGAGAAACAGCTATGTTTCACTGAGGGTTAATCCAGCCTCTGGTGGGTGTCTCATTGACAGCTGCTAGAGGAGCTTCCGCGATTCTCACTGTGAAAATCACAGTGAGAAGACACTGAACGTCCATAGGAAAACATTGAGTAATGCTTTCCTATGGGCGGTTTAAATGCGTGCGCGCGCCTTTTGCCGCGCATGTGCATTCGGAGCTGAGAGGCGGAGGGATCCCCAGCGCCAAGGGAGTCCGACGCTGGAGAAAGGTAAAGGCTGAAGACACACACACACACACACACTCTCATGAACAGACGCATACACACTAGCTAACAGACACACACATTTACTGACAGAGACACACTCAGCGAAAGACATACATACACACTCACTTACAAAACATACACTTTCACTGACAAACACACACTCACTAACAGACATCAAACACACTCAGTAACAGACACACACAGTAACATACTCACTAGCAGAAACACACCCAATAACAGACACACTCACTGACACAGACACTAACACACACACACAAACACACACACACTAACAGACACACTAACCCACACACACACACACACACATTATTTTTTAAATTTAATCCCCCCAGCCTCCTTAGTTTTTGGAGTGCTGGGGGGATTCTCTGGGGTCCAGTGGTGTTGCTGGGCAGGCGGGCTGTCTGGGTGGGTGGCCGGCGCGCGAGGGAGCACTCTCCTCTGTGCGCTTCCTCTTCAGCTCCCTCGCGCACCGCACTGATACCGGAGCCGGAAGATGACGTCATCTTCCGGCGCCGGCATCCCTATGCGGCGCGCGAGGGAGCTGAAGAGGAAGCCCCCCAGGAGAAGAGGCTGGCCCTGTGGGTACATACCGGGTCGCAGGGGCGGCCGGGCGCCCTGGTGGGCCGGGCCCGGTCGCAGCCGCGACTCCTGCGACCCTGGTATGTACGACACTGCTCAGACTATACTATTTCCCAGTCCCTTTGGTACTCCATTCTCCGTCTACCAAAACAGCAATGTGTGTGCAGATTATTTATTCAGACCTATCATATATATATATTTTTTTACCTGTGCTGGTTTCGTTATTAATCCCGTTCGGCTCCCAAAATAAATAAAGACTTTGCCATTATCATCAAATGGTGCTCCAATGGCAATATCTGCATTTAAAGAAATAAAACAATTAGACATGCAAACAATATTTCAAATTGGCCAATTTTTATTTTTAAAATGTAACAGACTGTTGCATAGACATTAAAGTTTTGCCTTATCCTTATATTTATTTAAACAAATATGGCTGCATCATTAGAGATACGCATATAGTGAGTTTTGCAGCGCTGGCAAAAATGAAAAGATTTTGCAGAGAAAATTATGTATAGTTGTATAGAGTTCTGGATCCAGAATTTTAGAGGATTTTTTATTTCATGTAAAGGTTAGCTTAGGCACCCGTATGACCACATATATTATTTAGTAGCAGATAGAGTAGATAATGTGTTTCTGATTGGGGGTTTTGCAGCAAGTGGCACTATTAGGTTCTGAAATTACAATTAAAATCTTAAAATAATCTTCAAACCTGCTTATGAGTTAATTTCACTTTACAGATTAAACTCAGATGAATTATTATACAAATAGCTGAATTATTATACTCCATGTTGTTGATGAAGGCAAAATGAATATGCACAAACTGAGGATAATAAGGTCAACAGTTGAATTCATTATTTTTGACTGTTGTAATCAAACTGAGCAATTTGGTTCAAAATTTCAATCAGTAGAGTTTATTGCTTTGTGATGTACAACCTTTGTATCCATCCAGGTTCATGTCTCCCAAGCTACTGACAACAATTCCAAACATTGAGCCATCAGTCCCATTAAGCCGTAGAGGAGGAGAGCTGTCCAGTTTCCCATCTTTATTCATATAGATATAAACCGCACCACCGATTTCCTCCTTGCGTGAAAAGTAATTAGGGGCACCCACCAGCACGTCTGTCCAACTAAATAGTGGTTGGAAGAAAAACATGATTTAATAGGGATTTAAAATATTTATATATTTTGTAAGTTACGTTTGTTTAAATTACAATATATACATTGTTGAGCTTTAGTTTTGTAAATGAATACAAATAAATCAATTTTTTTCTTTTGTTTGTTGTCCTTTCCTTTTTTCTCCTTAGTTTTGTATTTTATTATTGGATTATAAAAGAGAGGCACAGTGTATGTGCATGCATGTTTCCTGGGTTGGCTGTGACTTTTATGTTTCATAGATTATGTGTCAGATGTAATATTCTCCAATGTCCTGTTTATTTAAGCAGATGTGGACATCCACAAGAAGAAACAAAGAATTCTAAAAACAAATGTCAGTCAGTGTGACAAAATTTCCTGTAGCTCTTTGCCTTTTTATTTTTATTGTTTTATAATTCTTTATTTTTGTAAATGCAGTAGTGACAAACATATAATCTTATACATCCATGGACATATTGTATAAACCAAAAGCATTGCATGAAAAGGTGTACATAGGTTGTGCATTTTTTTTTATATACCTAAGGAGGTGTATACCAGACTAGTATCGCTTACACGTATTTTATACATCCTGAAAACAGCACCTTCTCAGTCAGATAAAAGCATTATGAGTCATGTAACGGTTTTTGTTACATGTGGCTCTTTGCCTTTTTAAAAAGATAAAATTATAAAACCCAGCGGCGCACATCCAAATGAATGGGGCTACACACTTCTACGATCATTAGAGTAATAGCAATAATGTGGTACTTAGCAGGCTGAATAATGCTCAGCGCCCATTTTTAAGGCTACCTGCAGAAATGTAAGTTGAAGTCTGAAACAACATACCTGTCTGTGCTCAAGTTAGGAACTCTGGGATGGTTGTGTACATGTGATATTTCAGGTTTCTGTGCCCAAAGGGGACTTTTCAACATTAATTTATCTATGATAAATGATATATTCAATTTCAATGGACACAATTCCAGCTGTAGTCCACTGTAGGACAGGTGTTTTAATATGTACCAGGCTTTCCCAAACCAAGCAACCAACCATACTGCTATGCTACACAGAAACAAAAAATGTCATGTCTTTTTGTATTTTGTTCTCAAGGAGATTGTCATAATGTCATTCATTTCACAGTCTTGAATTACCAAATATTTTGGATAGCCCCTGGATATAGACATTCTTGCCTCTCTGTATAATCCCACATATGAAAATAAATGTATTTTGTTTAAGAATACCTATCCTTGAAGCAATGTTAAAGGCAAATGGTCATTTTTATTATTATTATATAGCGTATTGGTCTATTATTTTGTAGTGTTGTTTGTTAATAAATGTCTTTAGTTAATCTCCTAGTTTACCATTGCTCTGTGGAAGCAGCCATTTTAACTGTTTGTTTTTCGTTAGAAGCACCACTTATCTTCCTTGTCAAATTTGAATGTCTGAAAACAGCCAGCATGCATTTTTAAGATACTCGATACTTCATCATGATGTCATACTCATGAAATCATACCAGTTCTATCTGCACAGTTTTCTTTGTCAAATAAACTGTGCTTTGAACCTATGAGGACTTCAAAATGCTGCTTCCATGAAGGAAGGATAAGCCAGGAGATATACTGAATAGAAGTGTTTACATGTATGCTTTGCACACGAACACACACCAAGGCTACAATCTCTTATTTTGTATTTATTTTACATAATCAAAAAGAGAAAGCGTTTTCCTCTAATAAATTAATATCAGACAAGATGAGATAAGAAAACAGTGGTAGTGAAATGGATAGAACCAGTTAAAGGGAGATGTAATTAGATATATGATATTACTAATTTAAAAATAATTCATATGAAAGATTTGTTAATCCATGAATGTAAAAAAATGGAGGAAAGGGATGGGAAAAACCTACTTAGGGGGAGAATAAGGTCAACAATGAGTACAGAATCTAGGAACACTTGAAAACATCTTAAAAATGTGACAGAAAGATTTGTTAAATCAGATTATTACTACGGAAGAGAATGTTATTCTATGGGAAACCATATATGGCAATTTTCCATGTCTAAACTGCTTTGCCTCTTATTATTATTAAAAAATCTACTTTATCACAAGCCAGGAAAGGTAATCAGTATAAAATCAATCAACTCTATACTCATGGATAAACATTTGGCATTCTCTTCTCAAATATGCAAGTGATCTTATAAGTCCATTTTAAGGGAATAAGGCATTTAATGAACAGAAATTTAGCTGGCCATTTGCACTGCCCAACCAATTCATGGAGGTTGCAGACTACAAACACTGAATCAACCGGGACATATTTATTTATTTTCTTTCATTTTTATTTGTATAGACATGTTTTTGTGAACTAATGCTCTGATGCGTTACATGTTTTTCTAAAAACTTTCATTCTTTTTATTTTTTTGAATGGTACTGTTTTTCTCTTTCCTTAACAAATAACTTAGTTGTAATGGTGATATTCACATTATGCCACATGTCATGCTTTTCACTGTTTAGCAGTGCACACGCCTTAGCATTGCTGAAATGTTTGGAAATGAAAATGTATTGCTTTGGATTGCTTCGCCACTACTTGTATCTAAAAAACTCTTTGATCAATATCTGGCGGATTTTCTTTGTGCTATCTGTGTCTATGGTAAATGTTTTAACAATTTGTACTGGCCTACAAAGTTTTGTGTTTTTCTGTCTCATACTGCTTAATCCAGAACTAATTTGACCATACTGATCCTTCAAGCTCTTTACCATTGTAAACAGAAGGTAAAAACGAACATGTCAACGGTTTACATTGTTCACATAAAATCAGCTTACCCATCGTTGTTCAAATCCTCTACAGCAACTGAGTATCCGAAGGATGAAGCCAGGGTCTCTCCCCATAAAGTGACCTCTGGAATAAGTTGACTTCCGCTGTCCTTGCGTAAGATAATCACAGCACCAGTGTGATTGGCCCGGGGAGCACCGCTTACAAAGCTCAGCTTGTTCCTCCCTGTTACCCCCCACCCCGAGGCCACTGAAAAACCTGGAGGAGGCAGTAATAGAGTCAGCAAGTGCATTTTGTTTTAAATACATGTGACTACTTCTTACAAAAGCAAAAAGAAAACGCAGGAGGAAATGTAAAGTGAAAATGAAAGCAGGGAAGGTTGTGGATCCCCATAAGACCCAACTAGAAGAAGAGAATATGGAAATAGTGGACAGATTAAAGAAATAATATATATCAGGGTTTATTACCTGGAGGCGCACATCCTGACTAGATCACACTTTGCACTTTCTACATCTTGCTTTGGCTATAACGAGTGGTTTGGGATGAACTTTGGAAATGTTTTAGAAGAGAAGACTCGTCAGACATTTTTCCATGTAGTCTGTAAGGAATTACTAGCTATTGTTACTCCTATAATTACAGCTTGGAACTATGTATCAATCTCCCCAGGCCTTGGTGTTTTTTTGTTTTTTCAGTTTGATGAGTGACATCCACCACTTAGACTGCAAAGCCATTCCAGGCTGTCTTTGACAGTTATTAGAGTGCTGTCATTTTGGTTTGATTGTCCATCTTCATAGCCATGTTAGACATGGATCAGCTCCCCCTCGCTGTTTGGTCACCCTGAGCTGAAAGCAGGTGAAGCAGCATTCATACTCACTATGTAAGGAAGAGGTGAGTGAATGAAGTGATGATGTGTTAGAAATGATTGACCACACTGATTCACAATAAACAGGCTCATCCGGTTCTGGTTTTGTGTTCTATGAGTCACTTGTCCTTCATTAGGGATTGGTTAGCAGGTGATGGCTTGAAATTAACCTGTACTGGCTGAGCCTGTTCACTTGGTTAAAGATTTACAATGGTAATGAGTTTAGAAATGGCGTCAACAATTAAGCAAGCTGTGTTTTAAATGTATTATTAGTTATTGTCAACGGTCAATAAGCCAAATGTATCATTATAAAAAAGTGAGTTCAAAGACCAATTTTCTAACATGTTTAAAAGGAATTTTGCATGACCACTATATGAACAAGTTGCAGCAGCGTATCCACTGATTCAGAACCTAAAATGCCTAATTGTAAAATTTATCGTTTGGTTTTGCATTTGGATCTATATTATTATTTTACAATGCATTAGTTGACTTTTTTTTTTACTTTGCTAAATTAAGCTTTGGCAAATCATGGTTGATTCCATTCCAGCCATAAATGCATCTTTATTGATCACTTCTAACAAATGAAAGGTAAACGTAGAGCAGCGTGTGATAATGGAAGCTTTTATTTTCTTTAGGATTTAAATGGCAGAAAGGCACAAGGGTGAATGTTTGGATGGCCAACATTTGACTTAAAGTGCCCTCTGTAGCTATCAGATTTTAATCTTTAATAAAGAAACTATTGATTCTTTCCATAGTAATGATTTGTAGTACCATATATTTCTGTGCTACTTTGCGGCTTGTTTTACTTCATATGTTCCCTTTTGGATATGTAGCTCTATAACTATTTTACTTGTTTACTCAATTTATCTAGATTGTAAGTTTATTTTTAGCAGGACGCTGTACAGCTTTTGTTTCCGATTATCTTAACTAGTTAACCATTGCTTGAATTATGCTTTGTAAAGCAATACATATATAGTGTTATATTGCTTGAATTATAAAGCAATACATATATAGTGTTATATATATATAAATAGCAAAAATAAAAATATTGAGATTGGTGTTTAAAAAGACACTGTAGACACCCAGACCACTTCAGCCCATTGAAGTGGTCTGGGGGCCAATTCCCATCACCCTTAACCCTGAGCATGAGCTGAGCCAGCGCCAAGGGACATCTGCACTGGACCCAGCGTCGCAGCAGTGGCGGATCCAGGGGGGGGGCAACGGGGCAATTGCCCCCCTCCGAGAAATCCACCGGTCTCCCTCCCCTGTCAGCACATGCAGGCGCTAGCCCTGCAATGTGCCTGCGGACCGGGGGGAGATCACAGATCTCCCTCCCCGGTCCGCAGGCACTGTGCTGACAGCCGGCGGGGGAGGGAGGGAGTGAGAGGGAGGACCCGGAGCTCAGCCTTCAGCTCCTCCGGGTCCTCCTCTCTCGAGATTTGGAGCGTTGCCGCGGTTACCACGGCAACGCTCCAAATCTCGCGAGAGTGAACTCTAGCCCGGGAGCGCGGGCTAGAGTTCACTCTCCACACTGGGACCACCAATGAATCACCCACCAGACCACCAGGGATCGAAATATGTCCCCCCTCCTCCCCCCCAGTAAAGGTAAGAAGGGAGGGGGTACATAGGATAATATTTATTTTAATTAAATTAAAAAAAATATATATTATAAAAAAAAGCCACACACACATTGCCCCCAATACTGTCCCCCCCATTCACACAAACTGCCCCACCATTCACACAAACTGCCCCCCATTCACACAAACTGCCCCCCCATTCACACAACCACCCCTTCATTCACACACAAACTGCCCCCATTCACACAAACTGCCCCCCCATTCACAAACTGCCCCCCATTCACACACAAACTGCCCCCCATACACACAAACCACCCCCCATACACACAAACTGCCCCCATTCACACACAACCGCCCCCATTCACACAAACCGCCCCCCATTCACATAAACCCCAATACACACAAACTGCCCCCACATACACACATACTGCCCCCACATACACACACACTGCCTCCCATACACACAAACTGCCCCCCATACACACACACTGCCCCCCATACACACACACTGC